TGGTTCAGAGTGGAGCAATCTGACTGAAATTTTCAGCATATTCCCTTTACATTATCTATTTTTAAACTATTATAGTGAGAACTGCCAGTTTTTTATCTAATCTTCCTTAAAACAGGAGCGTGGTGACCCATTATTTTGCATAAGGAACAAGATCCTGTCTGGTCCCCCCAAAAAAACAATATTTATATGTGTGTGTGATGGAGGGTCCTCCCTGTAATATTGAGCTGTGTGGAATATGCTAGATTCGATTTGTAGCATATCTGACCCACAGTATATGTTTAACACTGATAGAGAATTATGATTATGATTATAATCTTGAAAACCGCATTGAAACCGCAGAATTTTTTGCCATTTGCGAGCGTGCACAAAATCCCAAGGGGGCACAAAAACTCAAAACCATGACACAAAGCTCGTCATTGCGTCCCTCTCCCTTAGTCCCTGACTTGATACAAACTATGTCCTTTCAGGAATAACATAGAGATCAATTTTATTTCAATAATTCGCTTGTGTGTAGGGATCTTTAGCAGTGGGAGGGAAGTGGACAAAACCCATGAGGTTGGGGAAGTGACCCTACTCCTTGTCAAGTACGAAATCTTGGGATTGAAACCATACCGTTTGAGTAAAAGACCAATCTAATTAAAATACAGATCGAGGTTTCGTTTCGTTTTTTTATACTAACGATGGCCTACACTACATGAAAATCTGACCGATTGTAGTGGAAGGTCACATCAGAGGTCATACGAGTGGCTTTTGACCCTATGACATCAGACATTTGATTAACCAATCAGCATTGATGTTTCTAGTGGGTTACCCATAGTTCCGTGCACCTCATGCCAAAAACTTGTCGTAACAGACCGTTTCATTGCCGTATCCCTCACATCATCCAGAACGCGGGTTATATAACAACGATATTTTAAACTATAAAAAACTAAACAAAATAGAATCTCTGTTTTAATCAGATTGGTAAATGACAGACCTGATTTTTTTAACATTCTGATGATCTTAGAGCCCAACGTGTCACAATCATAGATACAAATATTGACTGGGATCGACTATCTTGATATTATTTTACACCAGGCCAAAGCAAAACGTAAACAGTGACATAATTTTTTTAATTCATATCTGTTACTTCCCCACTAAATCATAAATAATCACCCAAACTTGGCAGAAGATGTAAATTCAAATAAACTTAATTCTAGACCAAAACATCAACAAAAATGGTCATGATATAAGGAAAACACAAGAGAATTGCTGTAAATAAACGACAGAATTCCTGCAAATAAACGAACTATATTCGTGTATCATGACATCAGAGGAAATAATTACTAGTCTGAATCCAGATCTACATCAATTATCTTCTGTACCATGTGATTTCAAGTTAAACACATTGACATATGCTGCTATGTTCAACCCCTCATTACTGGTATTGGTAAATACCAGTTTGGAAGTCGCTCATCACCTTTGATATTTGCTTTGATGCTATTGTAATTAAATAAATGTGACATACTGTCTGGATTAATTTAACTCGGAGAGAAATGAAATGAAATTGGGTTTAACGTCCTACTGCTCTGCTCCGACTGGGCTAATGAAGACCGGCATATACGTCATACAGTGTGCTATGAGGGACATTTTGCCCGGGCAGCGGCACTATGACCTACTCTTATATCGAAGGGAATGAACTTTATTGTTTATATATCCACAAATGTGTCTTAGCTGCTTTGGTAAAACATTTTCCTGAAAGTCAAAAGTGCATGAGCTGTTATTTGTATCTAAAATGATGACTTTAATTAAATTTATTTGTTCGTAAGTGAAGCGAACGAACTTTACTATGTGCTACATATAACTTGTCTGCCTTAATTGTTTAATTCGAAACATTTCTCGAAAGTCAAAAACTCTTGATGTGGCTTGAACTGTTATCTGGGTATAGACAGTAAATTAAAGATTAGTAGCCTACAGTGAAAGTAGATAGCAATACACAGTTGCATTATTGTGAAATCATTGTTATTAATATAATATATAATAAAAGCATGTCATAATCAAGGATATCGTTGTCCGCTTATCTAATTCAGGAAGAAAAAAGTTTAAGGAGCTAAATCGCTAATATATGGGGCCAAGAAATTGACACAAATGGGTCGTAAGGCATATATAATAATGTAATATGAATGTATATAAACTGATTTACATTCAATCGTTTCTGTTTTTAATGTAATTTCTAATCAGTTATGTTTGGCGAAATACGCCAGAAATCTCAATCGAATGGTATTCACTAGCATCTGGTTATTCCAGTCTACACCGATAGTATTTATTGCGAATCCTCTACAGATAAGAACATGGCGTAACCGTTTGACATGACTTGTTACAAATGGCGCTTAAACGCTCTATGGTACACGATTCGTGTACCAATGGTAAAATGTTTATTTTGTCTTAAATAGAGAATATCAGACGCCTATCTTTTCCTGGTAAGGTCACAACATCAATGTTGATTTAAATTGACAAATAATTCATGTTTTCTATGTCCAAGGCTTTGTATAGAAAAAATAAATTTCATATTAAAAATGCCTTCCCATGTACAAATTGATTGATTTGATATTCTAGATTATTCTTGATGTGAATTGAGTATCAACTTTCTGTTGTAATTTTATGTATAAGCTTTGAAAAGACAGTGGTTTTATAGTAATTTATTATACTTTAGATAAGATTTTGAAATATATAAAACTACAAGATTTACGACTGATAAAAAAATTTAAGTGGAGAAACTGTTTAAATTCTTTAACCATGTGGATACTAAAAGTTTAATATTGTATTTGACACTCAGCTGCACGAAGAGAAGTGCTTCTTGGTTTTTGTGCTAGTCGAATGAAATAGACATATTTCTATTTGCGTAGTTATTAATATTTTGAAAAAGATATCAAATATTTTCTTTGTAGCGAATTGAACACTCCACAGCAATTTGAACACAGTAAGAATAAACAAGATTAATGAGGGAAGGAATACCTAAAGGGAATAAAATATTGTTCTTGATGAGTAGAGGTTTAAGGCCAAGTTTTTTTATAGACAAAATCTAATTCTTGAACGATGATGTGAAAAGTAGAGATATTGAAAAAGGTTCAAGGGGACATTGTTTGTGACATATTGTTAATAATGATATCGCAGGGAGACATTAGAGATTATGGTATGTAAGTCTGCCGTTTATTTGTATCTAGCAAAACAGATAATTTAATTACAAGACTGCAACGAATTAACTTCTTGCTAAAACTAAAAGTGGTAGATGGAAAAATCCGTGGAACAGTGTGGGTCAGCTTGGATTTCAATGATACTATAGGGAGCGATAACGAAGCCATCCGGTGAAAAAAATCCAGAAATAAAATCCCATAGAACAGATAATGGTTGACAGACATTAAGGATTTTGCTTGGCACTGCACAGTGTATTTGGAACAGCGGGACTCCAAAACATTCATAACGAGAAACACAAGTTATATATGGATATAACTACCGGTACTTCTCTGTTAATAACAACGTTTTGTTAAACATACATTTTCAAAACATGTCGAAAGGAATAGTATAGTATACATCGAGTGATTACTTCTCCGTTGAAACGTATAAATAACATTTTCAAAACTCGATTGATATCGATGAAAAAAATACACATAATTTCCAAATATTGATAAGGGAATATCTGATATACATCGAGTGACTACTTCTCTTACTTTATAACAATGTTTCTTAAAACATAGAAATCAGGTGATTAAAACATGTCATTGAAATGGATAAAAAAATAGTACACTTTATTTCCAAATATTGATAAGGGATTATCTGATATATGTTGAGTGACTACTTTTCTGTTACTTAACAACAATGTTTCTTAAAACATAGAAATCATGTGATTAAAACATGTCATTGAATTGGATAAAAAAAAAGGTACACTTAATTTCCAAATATTGATAAGGGATTATATGATATACGTCGAGTGACAGTGAAGGGTATTTGGAACGTAGAGAATCTATAAATAGATAAGTAGATAAAGATTCAACTTCTCGATGCTTTAGATAGAGATATTCATGTGTAGGAATCTATTTCATGGAACAGCTAGACTTCCTAACATAGATTCAAGTGGAGATTATTGGATTTACTAGGGGAATTTTATGTTAAATCAATGTTCATTGCTTAATAAGATTTTTATACTACAAGAATAAATTTGGAATATGGTGGCTCTAAAAAATATAGATTCAAGTGGAGATTATAGGATTTCATAAGGAAATTTTATAAATTTTATGTTAATTCAATGTTCATTGCTTAATAAGATTTTCATACTGCAGGAGTTAATTTGGAATATGGTGGCTCTGAAAAATAAAGATTCAAGTGGACGGATCTAAAATATAAATTGTTGAATAGGAGGGATCTTATGTTAATACATTGAGTGGAAGTTACCGTTTTGGACCACAGGGCCTAAAGGAGAGTTCTGTGATAGTTTTGTTCGGGATCAGGGAGTGTATAACAGAGCTCATAATAGAATAAAAAAAAAAAGGATAGTTTTGGAAAGTTTAATTAAGGCTGTTTGGTTTTTGTTCCATATAGGAACTTGAAAATTAATCTTTTACATTGGCATAATCTGTTTAAATATTGTTTGATTTGATTATGTCAGACAGCCGATAATGTCATACAGCTGATTTGAAAGGAGTATTTAAAGATTGAAAATAAATGAAAGTTTCATATCTTTTTGCTAAAGCAATTGGGATATTAATACAATAATAAAAATATCAATGAGAATTTCACGATTAATCCAGTTTATTACGAAAAGTTCGCGCATAATTCATAATAATGAAGAACTTTATAATTTAAGTAATGAAACAAAACGACAAAAAATAATTTGGAATTGTTAATCAATGCAAAAGACATTAGTTGATGGACGTCGATTTTTACACAAAGGTTGATCTGCGATAATGTTGAAAGACTAGTAACCAAGCAATAATGAAATAGTGAAATGATTTGACATTGATGGTTAGTGAATTAATAGATGAACTTTGTGTAAAAATAACTTTTTAAGAAATGTTGTTCAGTTATCAAACATTGGCAGCTAAAAAAGAAGAAGAGGGTAGGTTATATTCATTTTCTTTCGAGTTGTGTGAATAAAGTTAAGCATATTGTGGTCCATTTTGATCTTATGATGGAGCCACGATGGATAAGTGGGTAAGATGCTGGCTCGCTAGCCTGGAGGTTGCGTGTTCGATTGGCCGAGAAAGTTCATCGAGATTTTCCGACATTGTTTCCCCTTGTCAGTGGTGCAGGACAGAGGGCCTGACAAGACAGCTGTCTAGTCATTTGAATGGGATGAAAAACTGAGTTCCTGTGTACACATTGGCGTGCACATAAAAGATTCCTTGACAGTTGGAATTTGAAACAAGAGTAGGCCATAGTGCCACTGCCCGGGCAAAATTTTCCTCATAGCACACTGTTTAAAGCTTGATCTCGCTTTGACTCTGTATATCTTATCAAGCCCTTCACATAATACCCCGCATAATTTGGCACCAATTTCGATTGGGTACAAGCCCAGCTTGAAAGCCTGTAAGATTCCTTGATTATCGTGAATACCAAGCCTCGCGCTTTCCAGCTAAAATATCTACGTGTGATAATCGAATTGCAAAGTTCAAGGGTCGTTCAATGTCAAGGTTTCCGTGGAGGACGATATGTTTGATTTAAGTGTGTTTGTGTCACAACCTCTGATTGGACGCTGCAGTTCACTTGTCTTCGATAAAGGTAGATAACTTAGCTATATAAGTTCGGGAATTTCTGATGACTCTAGCAATGTCTTGCTAGATGTTGTAAAACTCGTGGTCATTGCTTCAGGAACATGGATTAATGTCTGCAAGAGGCTTTAACCAGTTTTATTCACTAAAATATATCAGGTACTGCCAGTACTGGATTTACCTACAGACTTGGCAGGCTATAAACATGAGTGCCTCAAGATAATATTTTTGACACTGTCATATAAGCCTTTCTTGTGTGTGTGTGTGAAATAGGTGTGGTTTAATGGTCGAGCACGAGACATCAAATAATGGTCTGCCAACATCAAAGGATGACGTCACATCTGTATTTTAACTTTAACTTTATTTAAAATACAGATGTGACGTCACCCTTTGATGTTGGCGTACCATTATTTCAAATAATCGTACGGGCAACTTGCCAATAGTACTTTATTCATACCAGTGAGATATTGGACTAGTGTGACGTAAAAGCTCGTGCGGAGTGTCAGTATTTTAAGATGTTTAATGGTCTCGAGCTTACGACATTGCGTAATATATTGTAAAAACATTCGGACCTACGGCCCTCATGTTGTTACAATATATTACTTAATGTCTCGCTCTCGACCATTAAACAATACTTAACGTCTGCTTCCACTGAAGTGATATCACAGACAATTATATGTTATATTTAAAAAATGAAAAATTTACAAAGTGATAAGCAAATAAATAGTGAAAGGATTGGTAAAAATATTTATATAGATGTACGTATAAGAAACTATCTGATTAAAACACAGATCTATATTTGGTTTTGTTTTTATACATTGGATGGAAATGAAATGAAATGAAATGGAGTTTAACGTCCTACTGTTCTGCTCCTAACCTGGGCTAATGAAGACGGGCATAGGCCATACAATGTGCTATGAGGGAAATTTTGCCCGGACAGTGGCACTACGGCCTACTCTTATATCGAATTCCAACTGTCAAGGGATCTTTTACGTGCACGCCAATGTGTACACGGGACCTCGGTTTTTCGTCCCATCCGAACAACTAGACAGCTTTCCTTGTCAGCCCCTCCGTCCTGCATCACTGACAAGAGAGAACCACGCCGGAAAATCTGGATGAACTTTCTCGGCCAATGCAGGGATCGAACACCCGACCTCCAGGCTAGCGAGGTAACGTCTTACCCACTTAGCCTACACTACATGAAGATCTGCCCGGTTGTAGTGGAAGGTCGCGTTAGAGGTCATACGAACAGCTTTTGACCCTATGACGTCAGACATTGATTAATCCATCAGCGTTGACATTTCTAGTGGTTTTCCCACAGTTCCGTGCATCGCACGCAAAGAACACGCCGTAACAGACTGTTTCATGGGGTAATCCCTCACTTCAACCAGAACGCGATTAATACAACAACTCTTCCAGATCCTAGTGTTGTGAACTATAAAAAATGAAATGAATTAGGATTTGTGTTTTGATCAGATTGATATAAGAAATTAAGCCTTTCTTACACGCACTGTAGTGCTAAACATCTGTCATCCTCCTCCACTTTGCTCAATTGTATTTAGATATGCTTTCATCTTTCTCTCGTCTTTAGGTTGGGGGTGTGGCCTTATAAGAGGATTAGCCTATGGCGTCTCTTCAGTTGCTCCTTTAATGCGATCTCCCGAGATTTTCAACATGGTTTCCCGGTTGACAGAGATAATAATAATAAGATGGATTAGAGAATGATCTGGTTCCGTTGGAGATGAGATTTTATTTTATTTTATAATAGAAGACTTAAGATAATATATTAGATCACGTTCAAATAAACCGAAGACCTTCAATTAATCAATGTGAACGTCTATATATGGGCGTGGGTGTCTGTCATGGATTTATCATTTGGCAAATTCCCAACTCGTATGTATTTACATTTCAAGCGAGAAATTGGCATTATAGATTAAAATTCTCATTTTTCGTCTCTTTTTACGCCCTTTCTATACCTGGAGAGCCATAAAATTCGTCTCGGGCCTTTTGCCAGAAATTTTAGGACGGTATTTGGTTAGATTTTATGCTATTTATAAATTTTGTTTGCATTCGATCCAAGTTGTAGGAAAATCAATATTTGTTATGAATGAAAGTCATTTTTATAGATCTTACAGCGGGTTGATGTTTAAAACTAAACATAGAGTAGCCACAATCAGAGAGCCCGTAAAACTTGATTTGGCTATTTGGCTCCATATTTGTTATGAATGAGTGTAATTTTTATAGATCTTATAGCGGGTCGATGTTTTAAACTAAACGTAGATTGGCAACAATCAGAGAGTCTGTAAAACTATATAACTTTATTTGGCCATTTGGCTACAGTCCAATGAGTCAATTAGGGATTTTGCTTTGTATTGCACAGTGTACTTGGGACAGCGAGACTCAAGTAGAAAAATGGACTCTTAAAACTGATGATCGTCAGTTGTAGTTTTCGGGCCATGTCTACTTTTCTACCACTTAATCAACACTATAAGTACTCAGATTGATAAATTAATATTTAAATCCCCCAACTGTGTAGTTTTCATTTCCTAATTACCACATTGTTTCAATCACCTGATTGTGTTGTTTCGTTACCACATTGTTTCAATCCGCTGATTGTATTGTTTCATTACCACATTGTTTCAATCTGCTGATTGTGTTGTTTAATTACCACATTGTTTCAATCCCCTGATTGTGTTGTTTCATTACCACATTGTTTCAATCCGCTGATTGTATTGTTTCATTACCACATTGTTTCAATCTGCTGATTGTGTTGTTTAATTACCACATTGTTTCAATCCCCTGATTGTGTTGTTTCATTACCACATTGTTTCAATCTGCTGATTGTGTTGTTTCATTACCACATTGTGTTGATTCTTTACCACATTGTTCCAATCCGCTGATTGTGTTTTTTCATTACCCTGATTGCGTTGTTTCGTTACCACATTATTTCGTTACCACATTGTTTCAATCCCCTGATTGTGTTGTTTAATTACCACATTGTTTCAATCCCCTGATTGTGTTGTTTTGTTACCACATTGTTTCAATGCCCTGATTGTGTTATATTGCCACATTGTTTCAATCCCCTGATTATGTTTCATTCATTACCCCATTGTTTCAATCCCCCAAATGTTTTGAATGTCCTCCTACCCATTCGCCACCTTATCAATTTTCCTATCGACTTACTGCATTAACATTCCAATATTATTTCCAGTGTCTGATCAAGACACTAGAAAATCAATAATTTGTTATGAATGAAAATGTTATGTCTGTGGATTACTGGAAACCAGAAACTTATTTTATTATTTATGATGAGTGTTTTCTCATAAAGTGTGAGAAAAATAAGCCTGCTCATATTCCAACTGTTGGCGATCGATATTCTTGATTTGGAGGAAAGTGTAATATTATGTAATAAATGGTGAAAAGCTGAATGTTTTGTGTCTATAGAAACATGGGCGGGGGTTGGATGACCGAATGGTTAGTGCATGTACGTTGTATCATTAGGACTGTCATTGAGTCAGCTGGTGTGGTTTTAGTTCCCCAGTTGTACATGACAAGGCGTGGGGTCGCCTGTCCAACCCCGTTGGTTTTCTGCAGGTCCTCCAGTTTCCTCCCACTGCTAAAGACCCCTACGCGCAAGTGAATTATTGAAATAAAATTAAACCATACGTTAATCCTTAAATGACCTAGTTCATCCTTAAATGACCTAGTTCGTGTCAAGTAGATATTAAACCCTCTCTCTCTCTCTCTCTCTCTCATTGGCGTGCACGTAAAAGATCCCTTGGCAGTTGGAATTCGATATAAGAGTAGGCCGTAGCACCGCTGCCCGGGCAAAATTTCCCTCATAGCACACTGTATGGCGTATGCCCGTCTTCAATTAGCCCAGGTTAGGTGCAGAAGCGTAGGATGTTAAACAACATTTCATTTCATTTCTCTCTCTCTCTCTCTCTCTCTCATCACTAGGGGGAAAGAATTTAGTGAATGAATTCAAATTAGAAAAATATTCACCTCAGAAGATGTTGTATTCCTGCAGACAAATTCTCCGCCATGGTGGAAAATACTCCCAAGCCCTCAAAGAGCACTGTGCACTTCCCTAACAGTTTTGCCGGCTGTCCTTTAAGAGTATTTTGGCAATATATCTTTTCAAACCATCAGTTCTTATTATATACACAAATATACAATACTAGACCAATACTAAATTATACACTAATATTCAAATATACACTACTATACAAATATAGACTAATATACACAAATATACAAAACTACAAATATACACTACTATACAATACTACAAATATACACTAATATACAACACTAACATCCAGTATTACAAATACTAAATTATACACTAATATACAATACTTCAAATATATAATAATATACAACACTACAAATATATAAATATACAATAATATACAATAATATATACAATACTTCAAATATACACTAATATACAATACTTCAAATATACACTAATATACAATACTACAAATACTAAATATACACTACTATACAAATATACGCTACTATCCAAATACACACTACTATACAAATATACACTAACATACTATACTACAAATATACACAAATATACATTAATATACACTAATATACACTAATATACAATATTACAAATGCCTAAATACCTAATTATATTATCCTTGCCTATCTATGTTATTGTTTGCCTTAATCTAATAATCTTGTTCACCTGGTAAGAGCCATTGTTGTGAATGAAATAATTTTGATATAATACATGGTGGTGACACTAGGATTTTCCTTGTGAAATGCAGGATTTAGATTATGTTTTAAATCTACAGAAATTATTAAAAATAGAACAATTTGTTGGGTTTTTTTTTTAAATTAATCGCAATCTACAGAGTTATAACCCTTCAAAAACGGTTTGATACTGCTCTTTGGGAGCTTGGATCCTATAATCGTTCTTCAGCTACAGACCTGTCACTTATTGAGTCTATGTCCATATCAATATTGTGCATAAAGTCCTTACACAAAACAAATAAATTAATTTACTTTTTTTTTCAGATGTCATCACAAGAAATAATGGTCTTGATCTCACCGGTCCTGAAAACTTGGAACGGCACAAAATCTGTGATGCCATTGCCGTTGCAAGCATCATGTCGAACTGTGCTGGTGTGGAATCGTCATCTTCACAGAACAGGTGTATGGGATGGCGAGAGTTTAAAGAATTCATCTACGATTACCAGGAGGAAGAATTGGATGATAATGAAATTATCGAACTTATCCAGCGACACGAACCGGATTTGACATTACGAGATCGATGTTGCCTATCGTTTGAAGGGTTTTCCAGATATCTGATGGATAAAGATAACTTTGCTAACATTCCTGAAAAGACTCGCCATTCAGATGAGGTGAGTTCAGTTTGGTCTGTAAAAATGAAATGGGGCTTAACGTCCTACTGTTCATATTCTGCCTTTCAGGGGTTCATTGAAGGGCACACAAATGTGTTCACAGGATCCTTAGTTTACCGTCCCATCCAAATGACTAGACACTCTTCCTGGCCAGGCCTTCAGTCCTGTACCAAAGACACAGAGTAACCATGCTGGAAAATCCTGGGGAACTTTCACGGTCAAAGCACTTAAAAGATCCCTAGTTTGTGTCGAGTGGACGTTAGGAGAGATCTGATATAGATATTGAGAGGATGAATGGTCTAATGTATGTTTTATCGGGATCATAAGATCTGTTATTTATGCAATTCTTGGCTTCGGATCTCCTGTTGGATCATGTGTGTTATTACCAGATACTCCAGCTTGCTCCGATTTCTAATATCACTGGGCGATCTATTTTGAAAGGGTATAATGCTTCTTACAGGACAGTATAAGTGATCCAGAAATGAGACTTTTATTCAGGTGTAGGTTGCCAGACAATGAAAGACACACCTAACTGTAATGTAACCTAAATGAAAATTTCTACTTTTAGAATTCGAGAATTGTTTTAACTATTTTTATAATTTTATAATTCCAGAATTTTTTTAACTATGATTTTTATAATTTTTCTCTTTTAGGACATGGATCATCCGATGTCCCATTATTATATAGCAGCCTCCCATAATACTTACCTCACTGGACATCAACTGAAAGGTGAATCATCTGTAGAATTATATAGTCAGGTATGTACCAGTCTCTTTCTGCTGTGTCACATATGTACCAGTCTCTTTATATATGGTTAAGTATGTACCAATACCTTTGTTTATAGTCACGCATGTACCAGTCTCTTTGTATCTATACTAATATTTGTGACTGTCGTTTGTCTGTCTGTCTGTCTGTCTGTCTGTCTGTCTGTCTGTTCGGGGTTGGCGGCTACACTAGGTCTGCCCCAAGTCTGAAATTTGGGGTAAAGGGGTAGCTCGGACCGGGGAGTAACATGTGCCAGGTGGCGTTAGTCTACCACTTCCTGTTTCGGAGTTATGACCCCCCGAACGAAGCCGGTCTGTTCGGGGGTTGGCGGCTACACTAGGTCTGCCCCGAGTCTGAAATTTGGGGTATAGGGGTAGCTCGGACCGGGGAGTAACATAGGCCAGGTGGCGTTAGTCTAGCACTTCCGGTTTCGGAGTTATGACCCCCGAGCGAAGTCTGTCTGTTCGGGGTTGGTGGCTACACTAGGTCTGCCCCGAGTCTGAAATTGGGGTATAGGGGTAGCTCGGACCGGGGAGTAACATAGGCCAGGTGGCGTTAGTCTACCACTTCCGGTTTCGGAGTTGTGACCCCCGAGCGAAGTCTGTCTGTTCGGGGTTGGCGGCTACACTAGGTCTGCCCCGAGTCTGAAATTTGGGGTATAGGGGTAGCTCGGACCGGGGAGTAACATAAGCCAGGTGGCATTAGTCTACCACTTCCGGTTTCGGAGTTATGACCCCCGAGCGAAGTCTGTCTGTTCGGGGTTGGCGGCTACACTAGGTCTGCCCCAAGTCTGAAATTTGGGGTATAGGGGTAGCTCGGACCGGGGAGTAACATAGGTCAGGTGGTGTTAGTCTACCACTTCCGGTTTCGGAGTTATGACCCCCGAGCGAAGCCGGTCTGTTCGTGGTTGGCAGCTACACTAGGTCTACCCCGAGTCTGAAATTTGGGGTATAGGGGTAGCTCGGACCGGGGAGTAACATAGGCTAGGTGGCGTTAGTCTACCACTTCCGGTTTCGGAGTTATGACCCCCAAGCGAAGCCGAGTATCCTGCTATTATAGTCATATGTACCAGTCTCTTTGTACAAGTTTTTACCTACATGTACCAGTACTCTTATTTCTATAGTATGAATCAGAGCTATCGCTGCAAAGTGGGGGGTTGGATGGCTGAATGGTTAGCATTGGTGCGCTGTATCATAAAGTCTGTCATTGAGTCAACTGGCATGGTTTCGAATCCCCGGTTATATGTGACAAGGAGTTGGGTCGCCTGTCCAACCTCGTGGGTTTTCTCTGGGTCCTCCAGTTTCCTCCCACTATTAAATATCCCTACGCGCAAGCGAATTATTGAAATAAAATTAAACCATATGTTAGTCAAGAAATGACCTAGTTTGTGTCGGGTGAACGTTAAACCCCATTTCCTTCTCTCTGGCTGCAAAGTTTTCGTGCAGTTTGTTCATTTCAAACAATGAAGAATATGACATTACTCATTTTATAAATTAATTTTAACATGTTTTGCCATAGAAAAGAAGTAGGAGATTTAATTATTTTATTAGGGGGGGATCCAGGTTTTGGAAAGACATTGTTAGTGAGTCATATGTTTGGTATGCAAGCTACTGCAGTACTGGTTGCACGCGCACCTCTGCTCTAGGAAATAGATTTTACACTGAATTTTTCCTCCTGCAGCAAAATACATTACTCATCTCTCTAGCCAGTAGTTCATAGAAAATATAATTTTATTTGATGTATGGAATATGTCATTTTGTTTAAATGTTTTATAGGTTTTACAAACTGGTTGTCGATGTGTAGAATTAGATTGTTGGGATGGTGATGATGGATCTCCTATTATATATCATGGTCATACCTTAACTACAAAAATATCTTTAAAGGTACGTCTCCCCTTCAATAACAATAATATCTTTAAAGGTAGTAACAAAAATATCTTTAAAGGTACGTCTTCTCTTCAATATCAACAATACCTTTAAAGGTAGTAACAAAAATATCTTTAAAGGTAGTAACAAAAATATCTTTAAAGGTACATCTTCCCTTCAATAACAATAATATCTTTAAAGGTAGTAACAAAAATATCTTTAAAGGTACGTTTTCCGTTCAATAACAATAATATCTTGAAAGGTAGTAAAAGTATCTATAAAAGTATGTCCTGTCTTCAATAATAGAAATATCTTCAAGGTTATGTATGTCTTGCCTTCAGTAACAAAAATATCTTTAAAGGTATGTCTTACCACCAATAACAAAAATTAAAAAAAAATAATAGTTTGCAATTTTTTACTTAAATTTAAAAGAATAATTTGCAATTCATCAGTTACTTGAATACAAAAAAAAACAACTGGTTACTTAAATTTAAAAAAAAAAAATGGTTTGCAATTATTAACTTTAGTAAAAAAAAAAAGGGTTTGTAATCGGTTACTTAAATGCCAATGTGTGAAATCTGTAACATTCCCTTAAACACTTTGTCTGCAATCAATGATATAATATATCAGGATTTATTATATCAATTTGTGTTTTATTTTTTTTTATTCTGTCCTGTAATAATCTCCTATATTATACATGTCAAATGACATATTGCCATTAATGATACTTGATATTTATAAAAGTTTCGAGAGGTTTAGTTAAAGCGGCAAGCCATAATAATTTGTTGCTGTTAATCAGACATGTTTAACCCTTTTGTACCTGTAGTCATTCGTATGGGACAAGGTCCTTTGTGCACATTGGCAATCATGTAAAAAAAACCTTGACAGTTGAAATTTAAGGTAATAGCTAGATCTTAGTGCCGCTGTTCAGGTATAATTTACCTCATAACAAACTTTATGCCGTGTCCCCTTCTTCATTAGCCCAGTTGGTGTAGAGCAGTAGGATGTTAAACCCCATTGTATTAACTGCATGGATTTCCTGAGAAATGTAGAAAAGTGGTGCTCTGTAGTACCTTTTGGAAACTCCCAATAACTACCGTACTGCCCCCGTCCCTCCAGAATGCATCATGAAACCAGTATGCCGTTTGAAGCGCTAGAGGAATTTTGTTAATATATTATATGTAAATATTTTTCAGAGTGTATGTGATGCCATCAATCGTAGTGCATTTTTAACTTCACCATATCCAGTTATATTATCTATAGAAAATCATTGTTCAATTCCACAACAACAAAAAATGGCTCAAATATTTCTGGTGAGTAAAACGTTAGACAAACCATACCTAAGATTATTATCTCAGTCGCAACAGATGTAAGTGATGATTGAGTGTACCACCAGCAGTTTGTAGGGTTACGTATATAACTAACCTCATGAATTTTCATCCGGTTTCCTTCCAAAGCTAATGACCCCTAATCACCACCAGATTATTGAAATACTTTAATAAAGATATCAAGTATTTTGTGTTTAGGGGACATTTAAAATCTCTCTGTCTCTGTCTCTCCCTGCTCTCTCTTCCATCTTCATTAGCCCAGTCGGAGCAGAACAGTAGGAGCTTAAACCCCATTCCATTTCATCTCTCTCTCTCTCTCTCTCTCTCTCTCTCTCTCTCTCCCCCCCCCCCACAGATTATCCCGATTGTAAACTGTAGATAACTTTGTTTCCAATGAGTTATTAATTTGCTCTATATTTTGCGTTTTGTTTATATATTTTCAGAGTGTATTTGGAGATAAATTAGTAACAAAGTATTTATTCGACTCGGATTATTCTGATGATCCACAACTGCCGTCACCAAATCAACTCAAATATAAAATATTAATAAAAAATAAAAAATTACGTGATAATGATAATCCTACTGTTGTGAAAAAGGTGAGAATATTTTACCTGTAAATTACATTTTTAATTTCTTTCAAGTACACCGAGGTGGCTCAGTTAGTAAAGGCGCTGGCTTACTAATCTGGCGCTCCCAGGGTCGATCCATCCCAGTGTTGACTGAGAAAGTAGCTTTGGATTTTTCAACCTGGGGCAGGATGAAGGTCTGAAACGGAGCTCCATCCTGTGACATTCAATAACAATTCTGTTAATTCAGTATGTCTTAGTCTTACATGGGAGATAGAATTGAACCATATGTTAGTCCCGACATGACCTGTTTGTGTCAAGTGGATGTTAAACCCAATTCTCTCTCTCTCTCTCTCTCTCTCTCTCTCTCTCTCTCTCTCTCTCTATATATATATATATATATCAAGCAATACGAATTATAACAAAGCTCAGCTGCGTCACATAACTAAAGTTTCAGTTTGATATTTTTAAAGGCTCAAACACAATCTAAGACATCAAGTTCTACTGGTACAAATTACTCTGAGACGACATCAGTTAATGATTTCGATGATGAAGATGATGAGGATGAAGATGAAGAAGAAATGGCAGATGGTAAGTCACGTGGGGGCCTGTTTCACGAAAGATTAACTAAGATAAAATCCAAATTTTAGTAATTTGATTGGATAATATTAGATTGATTTTAGTGCTTAGCCAATCAAAATTGAAGTATCTACTAAAATTTGGATTTTATCTTTAGTTAAGATTTCGTGAAACAGGGCCCAGACTTCATGAACAGAATATGGGTTTGAGATGTACCCGTAGTATTTTTAAAGTCGGATACCCTTAATGACAAATACTTTTCAGTGTTTGTTTACCATTATGTTCTTCTGCTGTTCTTAAACAAACATTATGCAAGAGCTAAATCTGCCTATTGCAGGTCTTTCTTTAGGCCTGAAATGTTTTCTAAATTATTAATTAGACATTACTTAACTTATCCAGGCCATAATCAACTCTCGATGGCATCGGATTTCTCCGATATTAAATAGATTAGAACAGTTCAGTCATATTTTAATTTAAACTAAAAATGGAGGAGCGAGACTTAGCTTCGAACAACCAGTATGGTGATTGAAATTATTGCACATGTCTTGCCAAACATTCAAAGGCTAATGAAATTTTCAAATTATTCATTTTACATTATCTATTTTCGAACTATTATAGAAAGAATGGCTAGCTCTTTATCTAAATCTTACATAATCTATCTTTAAGATAATAACTTGGTTACCATTCAGGTCTGAGAACACTGTTGTAAATGATCCTGGACTGTATACCAGAGTTCACTTGTGGGTGAAATTTCCCTAGCCTCATAGTAGCTGTAGTCCAGGGCCAGGGACCTTCAAAGTATTAATCTGACTCAGAATGTCTGTGTTCACTGGTCTTTAAATCAGATTAACAGACTTTTTCTTATTTCAGCAGCAAAAGATTTACGACGTTCTGTTGACAGTCAAGATTCTCCAACTCCTGATCCAGATGATAAAAACAAGAATCAACTGAGGTCAAGGACAGATTCTTTTGGAGATATTTCTGGGCCAAGGTATTTATTAGATTTAAGAACCTTTTATTTAGACGGGTTGGGATGCGTGCTGTATCATACGGTCTGTCATTGATTCAACTGGCATGGTTTCGATTCCCCGGTTGTACATGACAAGAAGTAGGGTTGCCTGTCCAACCTCTTTGGTTTTCTCCGGTTTCCTCCCACTGCTAAAGACACCTAAGTGCAAGTGAATTATTGAAATAAAATTGAACCATGTGTTAGTCCCGAAATGACCTAATTTTTGTCGAGTGGACATTAAACCCCATTTCTCTCTCTCTCTCTCTCTCTCTCTCTCTCTCTCTCTCTCTCTCTTGTTATTTAGACAGTGTGTTCAGATTATTATTATTAATTATATCTGCTGGACAAGAGAATATTAGTTATTATTGATATGTACCGAATGGTAATTGAGTGAAATGTATAAGAATACATGTGAGATTTAAAAACATTTTGATGATTATTTTATTTCCAGACAGCCATCTGGATCCTTTAGTGATAAGAATCGACCCAAGAGTCATCCTGAACTTGATTGGCATTTTGATGAAGATTATGACCTGAAAGTTCCCCCGAAATCCAAACCCAAGAAAACAAGTCAGATTGCTAAAGAATTGTCTGATTTAGTTATCTACACTCAAGCTGTTAAATTCCGAGGTTTGTTACAAATGCAAATTATTCATCATTTGTTTTGGAAAAATACAAATGAAGAGTCTAGGGGAAGAATGATCTAAGTCACATTTTTGTCTTTTCGCATAAAAGGCAAAACAGACTTTTGGACAAGAATGCTTGACGTGAACAAAACGAGTGGGTTTAGTTACAACTTCAAAATGGTGTTTAATACGAATCATAATTACCAGTACAACAACTGATTTCCACTTTTCAGTCAAATTAAGGTCAAATAATATGATGGATTTGTATTTGTCCGGGAGGCCATTTCAGAAGGGCCTTGGTTTGATGTGACTCCGATCGTTTTTACCTGAAATTGATTGTGCCACAGAAAGCTTATACAATTTGCTACCAGATGGCGCCATTAACTGGGGTTCGTTGAAAAAGTGACTTAGATCGTTCTTCCCCGGTGTTCTTCAAATATTATTCTTCATTTGTTTTAGAGAGATATTCAAAAATTAAAAAACAAGAATTCTGAATATATCTTTCATTCAAACTAAGTTAAAGATATGTATATTACTTTGACATTACATCATTTATTTTTTTCTGATCTTCTGAAATAATTTATTGTATTATTTGCTATGGATCAAAAATAAGACTTGATTTTTTTTTGTGGGTAGACAATATGTCTTCATTCCAATTTTGAAGTTCAAAATCTAATACCTTGGTTCAGAGTGGAGCAATTCGACTGAAATTTTCAGCATTTTCAATTTACGTTATCTATTTTTTAACTATTATAGCGAGAACTGTCAACTCTTTAACTCATTTCCCATAATGTATCTTTAATTACGTTATTCATATTTCAGGGTTAAGTTTAAGTCCGAATACGTCATTAAAACAGAAGAAAGCACCAACTAGAAAAAGTATATTGGTGACGAGTCTAGGAAACAGTCCAAGTACAGCCACTTTATTAGCTGCTGCCGGTAACTATATTGGTCTATTCTTGGGAGATACTCGATTGAACGTTCCAGGATGAAATTCTCTCAATCCCCAAAAAATAGTGACAATCGAGTAAAAAGGGTGATTTTGTGCTACAATGTATGTGCCAACTGCAAAAAATAATATCTCGGCCAACCATAACAGCTGAAACATATTCGTTGTGTTTAATTACGTCATGATCCTACTCATACCACTTCAGTTGTTAGGACTGACATAACAGAACTGTGACACAACTTAATTCCTGAACTTAAAATCGAGAAATCCCTTAATTTACCCCAAGGGGAGATAATAACAAGGGATGACTACTACAAGATTAGAGCATTAAGCATGTATGGTGACAGATCACAGGGGGTGGGATGGCCGAATGGGTAGTGCATGCGCGTTGTATCATAAGGTCAGTCAATGAGTCAGCTGGCGTGGTTTCAATTTCCCAGTTGTATGTGACAAGGAGTAGGGTCGCCTGTCCAACCTCGTGGGTTTTTCTCCGGGTCCTTCAGTTTCCTCCCACTACTAAAGACCCCTACGTGCAAGCAAATTATTGAAATAAAATTGAACCTTATGTTTGTTCCGAATTGACCTCTCTCTCGCTACAGATCACCAGTGAATTTTCCATTGACTATAATGTTCATTCTTGTCTCTTTGGCCAGTTCAATTCTAAATAAAACATCGTCACAAGACTCTGAAGAATTAAGATTAAACTAGTGAGAACTGCCAGCTCTTTATCCAATCTCCCATAATGTATCTTTAATTAATTCATAATGATAAATTACTGAATCAGATTTTTATCATAATTGTTATATTTTTTTTATCAGGTGAAAAGATGGAAGTAACTGCCTCAGGTTCCGTGTTGAAGAGTAAAAAATACGAGGGAGTTCCGTCATGTTTTCTTGTGTCATCATTAAATGAAAACAAAGCCAAGTCACTCTGTCGCAGAAATCCTCTTGGGGTTGTTAAATATCCTTTTATATGATTACAAATTCAACTGAAACGTAACATGTCCGAGACTCTTAAAAATGTGTAGTTATAATCCTTATAATTCAGACACATAGAAGTAGATTTCACAAATTAACAACACTTATATGGATATACTACTTCTGAATTTATTAACATGCTACATTTCAATACACATACAGATATCGTTATTTGCTTGATAATGATACCTGTATGTGTATCGAAACGTAGCATGTTAATAAATTCAGATGTAGTGTATCCATATAAGTGTTTTTAAAATGTGTAGTTGTTTTGAATGAAGCATGCTGCTATTCTTTTAGTAATAGTGTTTCATTTCGTTTGGTACATAATATATTTTTAGTTTATTTAGATATTTGTATATTTTGTAATATGACCTATATGACCTTAACAATGTCACCCATACAGAACGTCAGTTAATGAGAACTTACCCAGCTGGTATGAGAATTGATTCCTCCAACTTTAATCCTGTTATATTCTGGGCGTTTGGTATACAAATGGTGGCCTTAAATTACCAAACTGAAGGTAAACATACATTGACAATCTTAATAGCTTTGTCAAGAATTCATTGTAAATTGGGGGGTTAGATGGCTGAATGGTTAGCGTGTGCACGTTGTATCATAAGGTCATCTGTCATTGAGTCAACTGGCGTGGTTTCGATTCCCCTGTTGCACGTGACAAGGAGTAGGGTAGCCTGTCCAACCTTGTGGGTTTTCTCCACATTCTCCGGTTTCCTCCCACTGCTAAGTACCCCTATGCGCAAGCAAATTATTGAAATAAAATTGAACCATGTGTTAGTCCCAAAATGACCTAGTTTGTGTTGAGTGGACGTTAAACCCCATTTCTCTCTCTCTCTATGTATATATTCTGCAAAGTATAGACTTGTATTAAGGGATGTGAAACACCTCTGTTCAAGCTTCATCTGACAATTGTTAAAATGGCAAAAATTTGGCTTTTACAGGGTGGATTCTGTTTTATTTATAGATATTCACAAATTTAAATACATTATCATATCTTTACATCATGACACAGCCATATATAATGCTCACACAGGCTTGTACAAAAGGCATTGTGTCTTTGCCCAAAGGAAATGAAATCAAATAGGCCTCCTAATCGATCTCGCATCTCCTACCAATGCTAGACTAAGCCTATTATTTGGCTCATCTGGCAAGTTTCCCAGGAAACACTCATCTGCAATATCACCTAAGGTGGAAGCGAACTTTAATAGAAAGATAGATTGTACAGTTGGTCAAAAGTGTGTATTATGTACATTGAAGTAAAAGTGTTTTTTATTTCTTTTTATAAACTTTGATACTTATCTCAGCATTTAATCCAAGTTTAAATAAATAAAGATGACTTGATAAATTTTAAAATAAAGTCTGTAATACTCTTGTGCTTTCTGTAGTAAATATATACCCAGATATTCCTCATTAAAAGTATGTTGATATTTAATTCAATTCATTAAAATCCTGTTTTAATTCAATTCATTTTATTTGTAGATACAGCAATGTCGTTAAACACGGCCATGTTTGAAGGAAATGGTAAATCAGGCTACGTGTTGAAACCGACGGTGATGAGAGACAAGACTCATATGATGTATAATCGTTTTAATCCGTGGGATAAAGAATTCGATGGTCTTCATGCCACCATACTTACCTTACATGTAAGTTGTACTGACAAGGTTGTCAAACTTTCCATATTTTCAGGGGCAAACATGGCTTTTGTGATGAGATGTTCAAATAAAACTATCTATGAAATGGTCAAATAAAACTATATGAAATGTTTAAAAAGAATATTAATGAAATGTTTTTAAATAAAACTGTATGAAATGTTTAAATAAAGATATTTATGATCTGTTTAAATAAAAATATTTATGAAATATTTGAATAAGAATATTTATGACCTGTTTAAATAAGACTGTCTATTATATGTTTATGGTTTATTTTGTAGATAATATCAGGACAAGATGTGTGTTATAACCATACAGCCAGTACACAGATTGAAGTTGAGATTATTGGTATACCTGTTGACTGTGCTAAACAAAAAACTAAACTAGTCTCCAAAAATGCTCTTAATCCTATCTGGAACGACATCTTCACATTTCAGGTAAACATACTAACATCTTTATGTCAATCTTGCATATCATATGTTGTGACATGCCAGTGTGTGATCTTGAGTAGCTATATGACAGTGTGACATCTGTGTGTCATCTGATTTGACAGGACAGTGTGTCATCATATGTGGCAGTGTGGCATCTGATGTGACAATGTCGTCATCTGATGTGACAGCGTTTCATCTGATGTGATGATGGGTCATTTGATCATCTGTCTTTAACGGAATTTTGTTAATTTATTTAAGAGTGTAAAATGTAGAGATCAGGGGCAGTGAGCAACGTCCATCTAGAGATTGCCACTACCAATGACAATTTGTTGTACAACCACACCACTGTATATTAGTGTGTATGACTTTAAATCATGTAATAGAGAATATAACTCTATGCTTCTTGATGTGGGATTTGCAATGCTGACGTAAAAGTCTACAAGACTAAATGATGGAGACTAGTGACTTGAAGGCTTTATTAACCTCATTTCAAACTGCAATTTTTGGTTTATCTTTAAATTGACCCGATGTCTTTCATGAAATCCAAACATGATGTAGAAGTTCAATTATCCTATTCAGATAATATATTGATCTTTCTATTCTTCAACAGGTTTTATTTCCCGATCTTGCCTTTATTCGATTTGTTGTCATAGATACGAATACCAACCATCTTGTATCACAGAGAATCATTCCATTAAAATGCCTCAGACCAGGTACAAACAGTTTTTATATTTATATTTTTAATCTACAAACTACAAACCTATTTGATGTAGTGGGGTTTGGGTGGCTGAATGGTTAACGCATGCGCGTTGGAGAGAGAGAGAGAAATGGGGTTTAACGTCCACTCGACACAAACTAGGTCATTTCGGGACGAACATATGGTTTAATTTTATTTCAATAATTCCCTTGCGCGAAGGGTCTTTAGCAGTGGGAGGAAACCTGAGGACCCGGAGAAAACCCGCTGTCTATACTTCAACTGGTAGACTTAGACTTATCACCAACAGAGGTTAAGGTCATAGAACAGGTACTAACTGATTCTGATAGAAGCTAAAGGGTCAGGGCTATAAACCTCTGATGCTAGAAGCATCCTAGAGGGGGGGTTGGGATGGTCTAGTGTGTCATGCTTGACCTCTAGCTGGCCGGTCACCTCTGGCTTGCGATTGTGGTTTCGATCACTGGTGTGAGTGTATGTGGCTTGGAAATAGGGGCGCCTTCTCAACCTCGTGGGTTTACTCCGGGTACTCTGGTTTCCTCCCACAGGAAAGACCCCTGCGCGTACGCTAAGATAATGAAAATAAAAAAAAGACAACTTGTCTCCAATATCACCTTCGGTGGAAGCAGACATTAAACACTAAGAACAACAACAGCATCCTAGATTTGTTTGAACTGTGTGACTAATAGAGACGAATGTATAATAAGAATACTTATAACAAAACTATTCTTACTAAGACTAACATATTATAATATCTTATATAGGTTATCGCCATGTCAGATTACGGAGTCCGTCCAATCAGCATTTAGAGCTGGCTACGTTATTTATATACTCGAAACATGAAGAAGAATTACTGGAACCAACCAATGGGGTTGATTTAATTCATCCATCACATGGCAGCGGGAAACGAATGTCACTATTTGCCAAGGTCAAGGAGTTGTCAGAGTATGGAAGAGCTGAAGGAAAAGAGGTAAGAATGAGTAGGTCTAAAGTCACCACTGACAAGGGGGAGATGTTATGTAAAATGGAGTCGTGTGAAACATAAAATATGGAATGCAGAAAAATAAAATGAAAAATGAATTGTCAATAATTTCCAGTTTGTTAATCTTTTGTTTGCATTTTGTCTTCATAGGTCCCTGGTCCTCTTGGTACAAGATTAAAAAGAAGAATGTTTTTTATCAGTGTATTTGGAGTTACTGCCCCTGATGAGTATATTATATTAAAGACGACCCAAGATACAACAGCTTATGATGCCATTGCTCAGGTATGTTCTCACTAGGGTTGGTTGAGCTTTATGGTTTAGCTTTGCTCAGGTATGTTCTTGCTACAGTTAGTGGACCTTTATTATATAAATTTTGGAAATTAGTCCTGCTTTGTGGTCTTGCACAGTGGATCACTCTTTGATTCGTACAATGAGCCCTGCTGGTCTAGCATTGTGGATCACTCATTGGTTCCTACAATGAGCCTTGTGTTTTAGCATTGCGGACCACTGTCACCTGTCCTCCAATGATGCCTTGTGGTCTAGTGTTGCAGATCCCCTGGTCCTATCATCAGTTCCTACAATAAACCTTAAGGTATATCACTGTGGATCCTCAGTTAAACATTATGCAAGAGCTAAATCTGCCTATTGCAGGTCTTTCTTTGGGCCTGAAATGTTATATAACCTATTAATTAGACATTTATTAACATGAAAAGACCCTAATCAACTCTCGATGCCATCTTACGTGTCGGATTTTCACTGGATTTGAATCCAATTTGCTGCTCAACGCTCATTGATGATTTAATCCCAAAATGGAAAAACCGATAATTTGTTTTTTATCATACCCACTTCAGTAATGATGAATGAAATTTTCAGCATATTTCCTTTATATTATCTAGTTTTTAACTATTATAGTGAGAACTGCCAACTCTTTATTTAATCTCCCATAATGTATCTTTAATGTTGTAACACCGCCATGTGCTAAAACCTACCTGTACTGAACTACATAGTGTATCATACTATATTCTGTTTACAGGCAATGGCTAAAGTTGGTTGGTTAGAGGAGAAAGTAGGAAACTATGTGTTGGTTGAAGACGTACAGAGTGGTTGGGAGAAGAAAGATCAGGAGAAGGCCAGCTCCCAGAGAATACTGGAGATGACAGAACGTGTTTTACAGGCCCAGAATAAATGGAAGGGAGCTGGTAGATTTATACTCAGAAAATTAGGCGATGTAAGATTCTCATTTATTTTATGGGGGTGGGGGTAGATGGCCGTCTGGTTAGCACATGCACGCTGTATCATAAGGTTTGTCATTGAGTCAACTAGCATGGTTTCGATTCCCCGGTTGTACGTGACAAGGATTAGGGTTGCCTGTCCAACCACGTGGGTTTTCTCCGGGTCCTCTGGTTTCCTCCCACTGCTAAAGACCCCTACACCCAAACGAATTGTTGAAATAAAATTGAACCATGTATTATTCCTGAAATGACCTGAAATGACCTAGTTTGTGTCAGTGAAAGTTAAACCCCATTTCTCTCTCTCATTTATTTTAGAATAGGAAATGAAATGAAATAAAATCGGGTTTTATTTCATACTTTTCTGCTCTGACTTGGCTAATGAACACAGGCATACGCCATACAGTGTGCTATGAAGGGAATTTTGCCCAGAAAGCGGCGCTACAGCCTACTCTTATATCAACTGCCAAGGGATCTATTATGTGCAGCACAATGTGTACACAGGACATCGGTTTTTCATCCCATCCGAATGACTAGACAGCTGTCCTTGCCAGGCCCTCTGTCCTGCACCACTGACAAGGGGAAACCATGCTGGAAAATGCTGATGAACTTTCTCGGCCAACACAGGGATTGAACCTGCGTCCTGTCTTACTCACTTAACCATCATGGCTCCCTTTCACAATAGATAAATTCCCCTGTTTATCCCTCCATCAAAGAGAGCATGTATAAATACTAATTTATCCTTTTTTTGTTTTCATCGTAGGATCCCAGCAGTCGAGCTTGGATGACCACCATGTTAAAAGAACAAAAGGTACAGTAAATATCTTTGCGATCATTTTCATATCTTATGGAATACATAGATTCATTAGCAATTTTCACATTAACCCTTTGGATACCAGATTCAACATTTGTAAATGAGGTCAATTTATTTATACTTTCTTACTATGATATATAATGAAGTCATATACCCACTCTATTTGGGTTAGCGTCTTCATTAGCCCAGTCGGAGAAGGACGTTAAACCCCATTTCATTTCATTTCCTTTTGAGTTATTACATATGACACATTCCTGTTCTCACTATTATAGCCACATACTGACGATAACCAGACCATAATTTAGACATTTATAATTTCAAAAATAGTTGGATCAGGAATTCTTGATATAATTAAGCAATTGAGATTTTTTTAGAATCTATTGGGTATAGTTATTTATTACAAGGTGCAGTTTGGAATTTTTGATATAGTTAATGAATTAAGTTATTTTAGTTTGGAGGTGTGGGGATAGGTATTTGTTAGACGTTAGGTATTCATGATGAATTTAGTTATTGTATTTGCTTTATTACAGAGATTAGAGGAAGATACGTCTGATTGGGAATCAACAGAACATATGTTTGTCGTCTGTGTATATAACGTATCCCCTGATCAACCATATACTGTATTTAAAGCACCTGTAACTAGTACAGCTCAAGATATAATAACACAGGTAAAACCTCCTTGTCTCACCACCGCTCCTCTTACGCAGGTAAACCTCCTTGTCTCCCCCCCTCCCCCCAACAGATGTTAATCGCTTGCCCACCCCTCACCTCAAACACAGGTAAGTCTATAAACCTCCTTGTCTCACCCCTCACCTCAAACACGTTTTCCTCTCAGAGCTGAAGACCCCTACGTGCAAGTGATTTTATTAAAATAGAAGTGAACCATATGTTAGTCCCGAAATTACCCAGTTTGTATCGAATGGACGTTAAACCCCATTTCTCTCTCTCTCGTCAAAATGCTGTCTCAGTCTTAGCACACATATTGCTTAACTGATCTTATGCAAATAAATGTTCCCTAGCATAATCTCATGTTTAACAAACAAAAGAGTTTTTGTAATAATGATGTCTATTTTATACAGGCCATGATGAAAGCTCATCGTACAAATACACAAGATCCCCGTGGTTACGTATTAGTGGAGGAGACAGAGGTCATAGGTGAAAGTCATTCGACCCCAGGTCAACCCCGTACCAGTGATAGATGTGAAAGTCGTATTGTCGCAGACGATGAGAATGTCTATCACGCTCAGAATGAGTGGAAGATGAAAGGCCGTTTTGTTTTAATGGAACGAGAAGCAGCCATGTCCTGCACAGAGGTGATTTGATTTTGATTATCTTCTGTTGATATTTTGATTGTATTTTCTTAAATCCTTAGACCACCCTTGTCATAATAATATATATGATGAGCTACTTGTGTGGTATATTATTAATCATAGTAAAATGAGTTACTCGTGTGGTATATTATTACCCATAGTATAATGAGTTACTTGTGTGGTATATTATTACCCATAGTATAATGAGTTACTTGTGTGGTATATTATTACCCATAGTGTAATGAGTTACTTGGGTGGTAATTAATCTGTTTTAACATGTGACCTCAGGTCCACTTATCTTGTACATTCCACTTATCTGGCAGACAGCTTCGACCAACATCTAATTGTAAAGACTAATATGATCCGTTATTAAATATAAACTTATATGAGTTATTAATGAGTTTACCAAGTATGGGAAAGCATAACCAATACTTAAATGTACTGAGTGTTTAAGGGTTAATTAACTCTGAATTCAGCATCATCTGCCAACAGAGGGGTTAGGTGGTCTAGTGGTCTAGTGGTTTAATGCGTGCACGTGAAATCTTAAGGTCTGTTTTTGAGTCAAGTGGCGTGGTTTTGATTCACCACTTGTACATGACAAGGAGTATGGTCGTCTGTCATTTCTCCATCTCAGCGTTGTTGTAATCAAATTGAACCAGATGTTAGTCCCAAAATGATCTAGTTTGTGTTGAGTAGATGTTAAACCCTATTTCTCTTCTATACATGTATATATATTTTTTCTTCTGGAGCAGGATAAAGAACGTAGTTGTGATTGGAAGGGCAATCTGTCACATGGTTTGGCAAAAAAAGGGATGGGATCCCGTCGTATACAGAAACACCAATCAGCAGGTCCTGAAAGAATGATTCCATCACCACATATGTCAGGTAAAATAAACGGTTAGTTATATTGGTATCAATAAAATAAAACACTTCTTTCTGTGACACTTATCACTGTAACCGGGGTATCATTTAATTTTGTGTATCTAGCAGGGATCTTAATCGGCTGTTTTTTGTCGGACGAATGAATAAAAACATTTGCAAGTTACCTGATAGAAAAAAACCTACAAATTGTGTTATGGTGCCGTATCAGCTTATATCCATCGAATAAAAAAACAAATATGGTAATTTATTCAGGAATAATACTGACATGAATTTTAAGCCGGTATGTGAATTAAATATGGAAAATTTTCCAAACGATGTACCTATTTGTCATATTTACTTACAGTGGAATACGATATTCCTCATAACAAATTACCAAGAATTATTTTTCTTGAAATCTGGTTATATTAAAGGGAATGGAAGCTTAAAGTTTTAAAACCAAATTCCTACCCGGACTCATTTGACCCAATTCTGGTCGATTCGTTTTAAAATAGATTAAGAACCCTGGTATCTAGCAGTAATTTCTTTCACATTCATTCAATATCAAATCTTTGTTTAAAAAATTCTTAAATTTTAAAGCTGACTGATTAATTTTGATAATGAATGTCCAATTTACAAGCGTTTAATGTTCCGATCACTGTTAAAAAAATAAACAACACAATTGATTATTGATGTATAATGATTCATTTTTGAACAGTGGTCACGAAATTAAATACTTGTAAATTGGACAAAGATTTGATATTAAACGAATGTGAAAGAAATTAGTGCAAGATACATAAAATTAAATGATACCCGGGTTACAGTGTATAGCTCCAACAAGGATTCAAACTTTCTGTTGACCATTCACAGTTTCTTGTCCCAGGGTCAGAGCTCTTTAAGCCTATGGATTTTATTCAAATTCGAATAGATCATTCATTGAGTCATCAGGAAGACGTTTATTGAAATATAATGTAGAATTGTCCTCCATTACTGATAAAATGTATGAAATCAAGTGAACGCAGTACCAGTCTAGAGTTCTCATTTGATTTTTTTCATAGATTTTGGATCTTCAGATTTCAACCTCTTTAATATTAAGTTTACTCTATTTCAGAATCTTTTCAGCGATCCATCAGTTTCCCGGCTCCAGTAACAAGCTCTTCAAGCGTAGCATCAGGAAAATCTTCGCCAAGTCCAAGCATGGGTGACAAAAGCCCATTCCGAATAAAAAAATTCTCAAAACTTTCCAATTTTAAGTTGGGTAAATGAGAGATTGTTTGAATCTATTGTCCGAATAATAGTGATGGTATTTCTGAGGCTGTGTCAATCCAGGATTACGGTACCAAGCCATGATGAAGAGAGTGGTGGAAGAACAATAGGACACAGACCCAATGTTAAAAAAAAAAAAAAACGAAAGTAGAACTGTTTTGAGTACCATAATAGTATAATATTAACCCCTCGTTATGGGAGGAAACCTAATCATCTCTTTAACCACATATTTCGACTGAGATATTCAGCAAAAAATGTCCACAGTTTTCTGTAGTTGAACAATTAAATGTTGTTGGTTTTTGTTTACTCATTTTAAATGGAATTGTTTAAGAGATGGGAGTATTTTAAAAGGGGAATTCCATTGCCTTAACTTTGACACAACAGCCATTATTGTATGATATGAAAGTTGATGTTTTTATTTAAAACTAGAGTGAAGAGAAGAAAGGGGAGGTAAATCTAGTCTAATAATTCTAGTTACTATATTTATATACCTACATGTTTTTATATTTAACACAAACAGTTGTAAATATTTTATAGTTAAAACTCATTATCGTGTACAGGTATCGTGTTAGGAGCCATTTATAATTCACCATTGGTGTCGACCAGGACTCTCATTTTAACCATGTCCGGCTTGCATTAAAAATGTCCGGCTGAAAACTCGATCTGTTAGAAGGAATTTTATGTTTTATTTTAGAGTCCTGGGATGTTGGCCTGTATGCATGCCCATTTAAATGTAGACTTAATTTAAAACTGGATCTGTTAGAACTGAGATGTTGGCCTGTACGCCATTTTAAATCTAGACTCAGTTTAAAACTTGATCTGTTAGAAAGATTTTAATGTTTTTTTTTAGAGTTCTGGGATGTTGGCCTGTACGCCCATTTAAATTTAGACTCAATTTAAAACTTGATCTGTTAGAAAGATTTTAATGTTTTATTTTAGAGCCCTGCGACGATAACGAGTAAAGATGTCTTGTTAACTGTGGGGATGAAAGATATACAGTATATAGCTTGATATGAAAATTCATCTAATTTTTTTTAAAAAGTTGACTTTTTTCGGCCAACAATAATTTAATTTACAGTAGATTGTTTATCATCAGAAATAATTATTACTTCTTGTGATATTAATTTCACATTAATTAAAGTGCTTGGTATGATTTTAAATGTGCAGTTTTGATAATTTGAATGTTGTAGAAGAAATTTTAGAATGATTCTGTCCGTAATGATAAAAAAAAGTCAATCAATTTAAATGTGGGTAGATTTTGTTTCTAAGTTTCATTACTGTTTTTGAATGTACAGTTAAACTTGTGTTAAAGACCAATATAGATAAAAGATAAAAATGGTCTCTAACTACAGGTAGTTACTTATAAAATGACATGATTTTATAAGCATTTGTTTTTAACACGGAGAGTATTGTTCAGTTAGTTATATATTTAAAGACCACACTATAGGATAGATATTGAATGGTCTTTAACCACAGGTGGTTGCTAGATACAAGGCAAAATGATAATTTGATTATTTGTGAAGTTTTAGCAGTGATTAGTATCACCTGTAGTGTATAATGATGTCATCACTAAAAACAGGGGAGACAACTTATGAATAATATTTGTATTGTTAATTTTGTCGGTGAAAGCCTATCATTGTCTGCTTTTACTTTTGAAATAAAAAAAAGAAAGTAAAAACAGCTTGTAAATAATTCCACACACATTAATAATAATAATAATAATGAGGTGGAAAACTCGCATATGTAATAACATGTTTAAAAGTAAATTTTAATTCCAATTTTAGGAGTTGTAAATAAATAATTTGAAAATAAAGTCATCCAGATATTTACTCAAATTTTTACGTTTTAATTTTATGATGATGTAATAAATGTTTGTTGCTATAAGAAAATTTTATACCTATTTGAATATTGAATATTGAATATATTATATAAGCTATTGAAATGAATTTAGTTGAATAATATGGATAATATTAAAGTATATGTAATCTACTATGACATGTAAATATATGATAATATACTTTGTTACATATTTGTTATTTGTATTTTTGTAAAAGTAGAACAAAGTAATACATTGTTTGTATTTATTTCACTTGTTTATATTACAGCATTGATTGTTTGTTAATTATCTTTCACATTTAAAACTTTAGCCAGCCAGTCCGCCATTTTGAATCAGGAACTCGGACGGAAGCATATTGCTCTTGTTCGTCTTGAGAGCGACGCTCTTTGAATAAAAAAAAAACTAAGGCTCCGCCAATTCCAGTACAATTGATGAGAAACATGACATGCTCATTCCTTTAACAATTGTGCAGCGATTGAAGGACTTTGATTTTTGAAATGATATCATAATTCCAAGATGGCTGCGATGACATCACACTTGGTTCCTGGTCCATAGTATGCTAATACCTGTTTACAGTACACATGTTTAAAATTGAAATCTATTGTTATACGTCAAATCACAATATGCCAGAATAAAGTGTGTATAACCGTACACAATCAAAAGTAACATTTATTAAAAAAGGTTTTGGTCCAAACAAAAATTAATCTAATCTTACTTAGGACCATTTCAAGTTTCCGATGGTTTATATTGATTAAAAAACGTTTTGGTCCAATCTGATTAAAACACAGATCTTATTTCGTTTTTGTTTTTTTATAATTCAAAATCCAAATATTATTGAAATCTAACTTGAGTGAGGAACATTTTGAATTATTATTGGTGTCACTGATTTCACATTTTCAAATATATGTGAATGATCTGGCTTTTTGTTCCTTTAAAATCACCATAGATAAAATTCAATTAGTGAAGTTGTAATGTTGAAAAACTCTGAAATTGTTTTATAAATTAAACAACTGATGAGCGCTTTACTAAAAATAAAAAAACTATTAAGCCGATATGTGTTTCAAATTTTTACTAAAAATAGGCTCTTTACTTAAAAATATCAATGGTAAAATAACGATCTATATAAATGTTTTTAAACAATGTTTCATTTGTACTTTGTCAAAGAAAAGCTGTCTCATTTTTCTGCAATTATTTCAAAGAAAAAAAAACTAATTTGAAATAAGGAAGGTTTGAATAAGTATTATTCCAATTTGGAAAGAAGCTTTTCAGATCCAATATTACGGTAGTTAATTTTTCGGACAAAATGTCTGGCTAATTTGTACTTAATGATTTGGGGGAGGTCATTTCCATGTGGAAAACCCATCTATCATGATTAATCGCTTAGGGTTAGGGTTTGGGTTACCCACAACTTATGCTAGATCTATCAGAATTAATCAGTTAGGGTTAGGGTTTGTGTTATCTACAACTTAAGCTAGATCTATCAGAATTAATCAGTTAGGGTTAGGGTTTGGGTTATCTACAACTTATGCCTGATCTATCAGAATTAATTGGTTAGGGTTTGTGTTATCTACAACTTATGCCTGATCTATCAGAGTTAATTGGTTAGGGTTTGGGTTCGGGTTACCCACAACTTATGCTAGATCAATCAGAATAAATCGGTTATGCCCCCGTCAGACCATACAGCGACCAGAAAATGCACAAGATCGCCAGCAAACGTGAACACAAAACGCGAAAATGTCCCAAAAAATTACAAAATTGAAAAAAGTTGTGTTCCAGGTCAGATTGCAGAACCTTGGCGTTTGTTTTGAACATGCTCGAAACAAATGCCGTGACTCAGCGATCATTGTCGACCATGGTGACCACAGCATCATAGCTGGCGTTTCCAACACGCTTATGGCAATTTTAATGCGTTCTAAAGCCATTTTCCGTTGTAGCAGCAAAGTAAAGACGTCATCCTGTTCTGACGGGGGTATTAGGGTTGGGGTTGGTGTTTGTTATCCACAACTTATACCTTGTTGTGTTAAAGGGGGGTTGGATGGCCGAATGGTTAACGCATGCGTTTTGCATCATAAGGTCTGCCATTGAGCCAAGTGTCCCGCTTGTACGTGACAAGGAGTAGGGTCGTCTGACCAACCTTGTAGGTTTTCTCTAGGGTCTCTGGTTTCCTCCCACTGCTAAAGACCCCTACGTATTATGTTAGTCCCGAAATGACCTAGTTTGTGTTGAGTGGTGTTAAACCTCATTTCTCTCTCTCTCTCTCTCTCTCTCTCTCTGTCTCTCTGAGTGCTTGGTTAAAATTTTGTATAAAGATTTTTCATGACAGCCATGATTGTAGGTTTTAGATTTTATCATCATTAGTTGCTTGACGATAGGACGGCCATGGTTATAGTCAGCTCCCTAAAGGGTTGCAGTCATAATGCGGAAATTTAGTGCTTGATGAATGCATTTTGTGTTTAAAGGCATTTTTTGTTTTACCCAGCTGTGTTTTACAAATAATATGGAATCTAGTTTTCTACTATATGTTTTGCACGGTTTATGAATACTTTCATACATTGTTTATTTAGGTTTCTTTTTATGCTGACAAAAGAACAAATATAAGCAGATTAAAGATTAGAATTTCTTTTTGTAGGTGAAATATTATGTTTGTTCATCTATTAGCAAAAATGGCCAAAATTTGATATTTAATTAAAATTATGTGTAATCCTAATAAATTTGATTATATTGATATTTGTAGAACTTAAAATGATCTGTTAAAAATAATTAAAAAAAACTACTCATATCTGACTCAGTGTCCTTGTTTAGTGGTTACAAACCCCAGATATTATAATGTAGCCAGTATTTTGAACAATACAGATCTGATATTTTTGTTTTTTTAAAAAAAAAACAATCTTCCATTTTAAATAATTTAATACTTAACCCTTGTTGGTGCACGAGGGGTCTCCGTGGGCCCCATGCACATGTTTTATAGTGTTTTGTAATAACTACTGGTCACTGCTTTCTGAAATTTAGTGACTTTGTCTCCTATACATTTTTACACGTAGCAAAGAATTTGGTATTCATCTGCTTCCCACAGAGTTGTGTTACATGCAAATCAGGCCCAACGTTTGAAGAGAACAAGGGGTCGAATCGGACCCCTAACTTACAACTCACAGTAGGGATTACAGTAGGGATTTTGCTAATGTATTTGCTGCCTAATACCATATTGCGTATGCCAGAGTATTCTCTCTTTTAACATCTGCATGTTACAAATACCAAAAATTAAATGATGAATTTTGTATCAAGCGTGAATTGCCATTTAACCTCTTTATCACATAGTACACAAAGTAGCAATTTTGTGAGAATTACTAAATCTTTTCCAAATGTCACTAAAATGTTTTTGTATAATAATTTAGTTGTTTCTCAGTTGTCAAATATGAATGCAAAAAAAAACTAAACCGCTGCCTTTTAATTAAGATATATCTGTACGTAAAAACTTTGACTTATAACTGGGGTCCATATGGACCCCATGATACCTCCTACGTGATTCTCACTACGTGCACCGACAAGGGTTAAAATAATACAAGAACGGAATTAATAATATTTAAAAAGTCTCTTTTAGTGTTTATATCAAAAAGTGTGTCAGGACCCTAAACAAAAATTTCACAGTACTGGGCCCTGTTTCTCGAAATCTTAACTAAAGATAAAATCCAAATTTTAGTAGATACTTGAATTTTGATTGGCTTAGCACTAAAATCAATCTAATATTATCCAATCAAATTACTAAAATTTGGATTTTATCTTAGTTAAAATTTCGTGAAACAGGCCCCTGAGTAGTAACATCTATTAGAGCAATAAGATTACAGCCATCTGGTAACAGCTGGGACCTCAATTTAACCATGTTCTAATTCTGCCTGGTCATAGTATGTACAAATTGTTGACATTTCGATCTGTGCTCAGGGCTGTAACTAGCTCAAAGTAAAGAGGGGGGCGGGGAGTGTTCTCGGGGGTGCTGTAAAATTGACGGACAATGTATATCTACGGTCAACAATTTTTTTGACAATGGGGGGGGGGCGAAACTTTTTGCTGGGCGCCCGCCCCCCCTAGTTACGGGCTGTCTGTGCTGCTTGGTAAAATTCTCCCAGTGTATGACATTTTTACTACAGTAGAAACAAATTAGGTAAATAAAGATTATTACGTTTAGCACCTATTTAAATAAATATTTAGAATTTTTAGAAATAAATAAATAAATAACAAATATTTAGAATTTTTAGAAATAAAGAAAGGCTATAAGTAATAATTTTGCATGAAAATAGACTTCCCCAACTTAAATATGGATAGGCGGGTCACATTATTTAGTTCCACATGACAAACATCTCTGGATTAAAATACAATATTTCCAGATTTGTCCCAATAATAAAACAGTATTTATTTTAAATTTTTTGCATTCGATCAAAATATTTAGCTGATGAATATTTGCCAAAATAATTTTTAATTTTTTCAAGTTGTATCAAAATAATTTTGATAAATTATTATTATCACAGTATGTGTTTATATTAGAATTGTTTTCAATGTTTATTTTTATTATTATTATTTTTATTATATAAGAGATATATATCTATATCTATAGTTTAGTGTTTGTTATACTGTCCTTAAATGTGTTCACACTATTATTATTGTTGTTAATATTAAAGTTTTAATAAATAAATAAACCATTGTTTTATGATATACTTGCATATTGCATATATATCTCTATGACAGTTGATATATTATAGAAATGGGTTGTATATTTTGTAAATACTATCTAATGAGCACAGAAAATAACAAACATATCATTATAATAAATGAAATATGTTTCATCTCACTTCCAGTGTTATACGTTATATTTATTCAAAAGGCCTGTGGGCTGTGAGACGTACATGAACCCTATATGATTAGATAGGCTTTAAATGAAACAGGGTTTAACGTTCTACTGTTGTGATCCCTATGGGCTAATGAAGACGGGCATATGCCATACAGTGTGCTATGAGAGAAATTTTGCCCAGGCAGTGGCACAATGGCCCACTCTTATATCAAATTCCAACTGCCAAGGGATCTTTTACGTGCATGCCAATGTATACATGGGACCTCGGTTTTTCGTCCCATCCAAATGACTAGACAGCTATCTTTGCCAGGTGCTCCATTCTGCACCACTGAAAAGGGGAAACAACGATGGAAAATATCTGTAAATGCAATGAATTAGGGTTAAACATCCCACTTTTCTGCAACAACCAGGCAAATCGAAGTTTACACTAACTCTTCAGCGAATTTTATTATCGAGTGGGTCAACCTTGTTTTTTCGTCCCATTCAAGGGACTAGAGTTTTTTAAGTGGGCTGTAAAACTTTATCCCATAAACTCTCTAATTAATTCACTAACAAGCTTGGAAATATGACACCTGCCACAGACAGTTACAAATTGAGGCACGATAATTCTGGTGGATATCATTTGATCAATGACCATCTATTTAAAAGTCCAGATCCCCTTGGATGGCCGATTAGATAGCATGTGCACCCTGTATCATAAGGCCTGTCATTGAGTCAACTGGCGTGGTTTCGATTCCCTGGTTGTACGTGACAAGGAGTGTCGCCTGTCCAACCTCCTGGGTTTTCTCTGGGTCCTCCGGTTTCCTCCCACTGATGAAGACCCCTATGTGCAAGCAAATTATTGAGATAAAATTGAACCATATGTTAGTCCCGAAATGACCTAGTTTGTGTGATTGGACTTTAAACCCTCCCTCTCTTTCCCGCTCATGTATGCTTTGCAGCAATTGTAAATAACAATTATCAAGCACAGTTTTAAAGAACAATATTGTTTGCTTAGTTGATGGTGTTTAAATCCATAAGATATAATGAAATATTTCTTTGTTCATTAAGTTGAAATCACTTTTATTAATTAATCATGATGGAAGCTGAGCAACTTGGGTGTTTGGGGGACTAAAGGGGAGCAACTCTGCACATTTTTTGTTCTCCTTCAATTGGGGGGAAATGTCTGTAATATTGAATGCAGTAAAAGGAATTTTAATGAAATAGAGACAGGTCAGTACAAATCAAATTCGGAGATATTTATATAAAATTTAAATTCGCGTGGCGGATACAAATACTTGAAGACGAAAGGGGAGATAACCTCTTGTGAAACGCTCTGTCTTTCAGAAGCCTATATTGTTTATTACGAAAGTTTACTTTATTCGGATTTATATGAGTTTTCAAAATTGGTAAAATAGAATTAATTTTAATAATTTCACAGCTCGTAAAAATATATATATATATATATATATATATATAAAAAAAAAACAAACCCAAAACGCGTAACTAATTATTGTAAGGGGAAATAACTCACGCTAGTTGGCCTCTCCAACGTGTAAGGAAGAAACGGTAGATTCTCTAGACTGAAAGGAAGAAAATTGTTAACAGGTTGTTCGTGGCGTGTTACTAGAAATTTGCCAAACAATATGTCGAATAAATCGAAGAAAACCAAAGAAGAACCGAAGCCGGACAAGGAAACTCAAATTCAAACCTTGTACGGGGACCTCCATAGACTTGGGCAGAAACAAGAATATGCAAAAGCCATCAAAATTTGCAACCAAAGTGAGTATGCTGGGAACCATATGCCATGTATGGATGGATATGGCTAGTTCAGCTCTGAACGTAAGTTTCATTACACCCTCCCTACGTTCAGGAACTGTCCTATTAAATCCTTGTCGAAAATCTAATCGCTTCCCAGTCAATTTTACTGGGCAACTTTTTACTGCTTACCGGTCGCGTGTCAGTCCCTGTGAACGCCTGAACAAATGAACATCTTAGGGAGAAAATAAGACCGTGCTTACCTGGCTAGAGTCAGTATGAGCGACACAACACGCTGTTAAAAAATATCCCATGAAACTTCAGATTTAGATAATGTATTATTACATTAAACTTTGGAAGAAAATTATTAATATATATAAGCAAAAGTTAATATCTGAAAGGAAAATAAATGTGCCATGCGTTTGTCCAATTCAAAAGAGACATTTTATATTTACTAAAATGGTCATCTTTACTGTCTTATGACCCAAAAATAATAGCATCTTCATTCATTTAACATAATTCAATGTATATTCTACCTATAGAGATTGCTATTTATATGAATTTTAATGTGCATTGTTTGCATTTGATATAATTTCATCTGGACTGATACGATTCAAAAAATTTCATAATGTTAAGTATAATGTTCAATAAAAAAATTATTTTGCAAAAAATTATCTTTTTTAAAATATATTTTGGAAGAATATGTATCAATCTTCCCTGAGACAGGGATTTTGTAAGAGGAATTGGAATTTCATAATTCAGTTGGGATTGGGAACAAATGGTACACTTTAAAAAAAAACATGCCATAAGATGAAACGAAATTTAGGTAAGCCTGGGAGAAAAAAAATGAAATCTTTGAAAAGTTGAGAATCTTCAGTGATTTATTGCTTTGCCTAGCTAAATTACAATAATTTACAATCAAATTCTTTCAAAAATCCCAATTTTTTCGCAACAGGCTTACCTAAATTTCGTTTCATCTTAAATGGCTGAGTTCTTAAATTTGTGCGTTACCCTTTCAATGATGTCCGCCAAGTCGGTTAGAAGACGGAGACGTATTTTTTAACAGCGTGTTGTGTCGCTCATACTGACTCTAGCCAGTTACGCAAGGTCTTATTTTCTCACTAAGATGTTCATTTATATTGTTCAGGCGTTCACAGGGACTGACACGCGACCGTTTAGCAGTAAAAAGTTGCCCAGTAAAATTGACTGGGAAACCAAATCTGGTCGACAAGGATACAATAGAAGGGTCCCTGAACGTAGAGGTCGAGTGTAATGAGACCTACGTTCAGAGCTGAACTAGGATATGGCATGCCATATGTCATCAGGTTTTCGGCAATTATTAGATACTGTTGAAATAAGCGAAATACTTTTAGCACTGTGATGGTATACGAGAGTTGGGATTAGAAATGGTTCCACTTAATAATGATGAATAAAGGATGGTTTTAAGGACTTCATTCGAGCAAGTTTTATAATCATTTGATTACAAAAAGGTTATTGGCCAGCTTATATCTCCTTAATTTTCTATTAAAAACTGGTCCCAAAGTCTACTGCACATAGCTTAGCATATAATAAACCAATTCCCATTGAAATAAAAGTAAATTAAACCTCGCCATGACATTGTACGTGATCAAACTTCACTTTCCATATATGTGTCTTATCATATCAGGTTCAGGATCTAGTAGGCCTAGAGGCCTTTCTGCTGATCGAAACACTGTTCATACAAAACTGATTTCTTCGACTACACTTATCAAAGTGACTTTGAATCAAGGTGGGCGGAGTAGTGTGGGTGGCAAGCTCACTACTCCAGTTTCGCAGCAAATGTTTTGAAGAATGTGATCTTTCTTGGATACTCATACAGGATAGTTATCAAAGAAACTGTACAGCATAATAGTTAAAGGCTCAATACCACTCTTGTTGTAACTGAATAATATGTCCCAATCTTTATTCTGGTCAACAAATTGTACTATTTTACAATATTCCAATAAATTGATAATGCAAATTTCATCTTAACACACCTAATTGAAAAAATTGGAAAAATTCAACTAAATAATTTGAAAACCTTTTCAAATGTGACTTGGATTTAAAAATATTTTCGAACCCTCTGGACAAGTAAAATAGGATTTAATGGATAATTTACACAACAGGTAGGATACTTAAACATCTAATACTTAGAATAAGGCTATTATTTATTTTCTGGAGCTGTCAAGCCAGCAAGAGTTTTATTGTCCCTTTAAAGCAATATTATTTCATAGCTGTTGTGTTTTGTTTTTCAGTACTTGGCTTGAAAGGAGATGAAGTGTCTGGTCTCCAGTATAAAATATCATGTCAGATGTTAACTGATCAGTTTGAAAATGCTCTCGGTTTGATTCAAAAAAATAAAATTACGTAAGTGAGATTATTGTCCATTTTTATACGACCACATCAGGGATGTAAAGATTAATTTTATCGTGTTACAAAAACACATAATTTTGTATGAATATTATTGACATAAATTTGAATACCGTATGGAAATTAAATTTGATAAATAGCAAGGTGCACATATGTTTTTGTATTCAGAACACATGCTATATTACATAAAAATATTTGTAGTTGAAGTCGATTAGAGGGAATGGAAATGTACTGACGTTATTTCCTGAAGCTGACAAACTACTACTTGCGACCTAATTCTTGCCTCTATTAACCCAAACTAAAAATGTCTTGACGGGCAAAATTATAGAATCCCATATGATCATGTACTATGACTGTGCAAGGGAGGAGAATTTTGTGCAGACTTTAGCATTCCCACCTACTCTTCCATTTATCAAGTTATATTTTACATGCAGACGAATATTAAAGCTCATACATTGTCCAACTAGCCCTGGGCTAGAAGTGGGTTCAATTTTTTTTTATGCCCCTGGCATAAAACAAATCCTCAAATGACTTACCCTGTATAACTGTATACATAAACAGCAAGAACAAAGTTAGTGTCGAGTCGGGGGTTGGGTGGCCGAATGGTTAACGTGTCTGCGTTTGATCACAAGTTCTGTCATTGGGACAAGCTGCATGGTTTTGAATCTCCGCTTGTACGTGTCAAAGAGTAGGGTTGTCTGTCCAACCTTGTGGGTTTTCTCCCGCTGCTAAAGACACCTACGTTCAAGCGAATTATTGAAATAAAATTAAACAAATATTTTAGTCCCGTAATGACCTAGTTTGTGTCGAGTTTATGTTACACCTCAATTCTCTATCTCTCATTTTAAATCATGACTCCTATATCTGTCCTGTATAACTTTTTCAAGTTTTAAAAATCAAAATGTGACCAGAAAGATAAATCCCAAAATCTTGCTTAAAATTTATTATTCTGAATGTTTGAAAAATGTGACAGGATTCCTTATGGTCATATAAAGCATCCGTTGAGAACTATGATAAAGAGTTAAATCCTTCGAACAACAACATGATTAATAGACTTATTTATTTTTGAGGGGTCACGTTGGCTAAAGTGGGTAAGACGCTGGCTCGTCAGCCTGGAGGTGGGGTGTTCAATTCCTGCTTTGGCCGAGAAAGTTCATCCAGATTTTCTGGCGTGGTTCCCCACTTGTTAGTGGTGCAGGATGGAGGACCTGACAAGGACAACTGTCTAGTCATTCGGATGGGACGGAAAACCGAGTTCCCGTGTACACGTTGGCATGCACGTAAAAGATCCCATGACAGTTTGGATTTGATATAAGAGTAGGGTATGGTGTATGTCCGTCTTTATTAGCCCATTTCGTAGCAGAACAGTAGGACGTTAAACCCCATTTCATTTCATTTTTTATTTATTTTTGAAGTCTTTTGATGATATTTCAGTGGTATGGATTTTGAGAAAGCCTATTGCCAGTACAGATTGAATAAAACAAATGATGCATTGAAGACTCTACGTGCTGTTAGTGAACTTGATTATAGAATGAAGGAACTATTGGCACAAGTGGTGGGTATAGGCATTTAGGCCGTGTGAAATTGATTCCTTGTTTCTCTTGCCTCTAGATGTGTATTATCAACTTCTTTAATTCGTAACGAGGAATAAACAAAGAGAATTGACCTTTGATGTTTGGTAGAATTTTATTTAGATTTTATTAACGTATTTTTTTTAATATTGTTTTTTGTGTTAAGAAGGTAAGTGCACGATTTTCGGGGTCCCCGACCTAAGTGTGCAGGCTAGGAGAAACAAGGAATTAATTCAACGCAGCCTTAACATGGAAATGTGAAAGTGAAATCAATAGAGTCCATTCTTTAGTTAATAATGGCTGTAATTTAGAAAATAATTTATTTGAATAGGTTGTTAACAAGATTTGAAAAAAATAATTTTAATTTGTGTTCTGGCTCATGTTTAACCATAATTCTAGCATTTTGGTGCATCAAGAAAACATAGTAGAATTTTATAACCTATCAGTAGTAACTTGCATAATGTAGTTGAAAGCATAAGAAATGGCACTTTATGACCCATCTGCATTAGCTACATCCTTATATTTTGTGTTGTGTTTTGTTGTGAATGCTATAGCCACTTGGTGTAGTAAAGTAATAGGACATTAAATAACTTTTTATTGCATTTCGAATTTAGGAATTTATGCTAGATCATTATTCCTATTAGTGTTTTATATAATATGTTTTATATTTGTTTCAGTTGTATCGTTAGTTTTATATAATATGTTTTGTATTTGTTTCAGTTGTATCATTAGTGTTTTGTATGATATGTTTTGTATTTGTTTCAGTTGTATCGTCGAGAAGAGTATGAGGAATGCTATGATCTTTATCGAGATTTGGTCAAAAATTCTGATGTAAGTACATACATGTATACTTGACTCTTCACTTAAGATTTGAGATACTTCAGAAAAAAATTGATCTGTCATAAGACCAGGATAATATGTTCTGTGTTTTAAAGATGGGTTCCCAGAAAAGTATTTATTGGGTGGTTATTTCCAATAAAAGTATGGCAATTTTGGTATATATCGAAAGTAGAAATATCCAATCTTACTAGAAAAATACTGGATTCCCTGAAAAACACTCATGGTGCGCATTCACGACAAAAATGTACAAGTTTCCCTAATTGACAGCCCGACGATTAGGAGTGTCTGCACTTGTGACGTCGAAAGTTGCACGCGGAGATTGAGCGCTTGATGTATATGTTGATAAACTTTATGAAGAGTTAGACGTACAACACTTTCTGAGATAAAAATCACAGAAAAATATGCGGGCAGTGGATAATCCAGGAATTTAATTAGGCTTCGATATTTGTAAACAATAGTCAGCGATAAAGGCAACATCGTCTTGTGACACAAACATGACCTCTTTTGATCGATTTTTTATAGCCGGCTATTCCCTGACAATTAAAATGTTTTGAGAAGGATTTGAAGCAAAATTATGATAAATTAATTTGTTTGAATATGTTTTTAGTCCAAATATATCATCAAATCACCCAGTTTGTACACGGGAATGTATTTTTAAGATCCACATATTATGCTCTGTGTTATAAGACCCACGTATAAATTGTGTTCTGTGTTATAAGACCAAGGTAATATGCTCAGTGTTATAATTTTCTTTTATAGGATGATTTTGATAGTGAAAGACAAACCAATATGGCTGCTGTTATTGCTTCATTAGAGATGTGGACAGACAAAACCATGGTAAGATGATTTAGGACTGCAATCTGATTAAATGTTATTTACTTTTCGTTTCATAATGTGGAAAGTATTATGTTGTTGACCCTGTCTATGTGGCTGCGTGTCCCTTGCAGATCTCAATTCTTAACTTTGCATGCTTATTTCTGATTTGGGGGGTTGGATGGCTGAATGGTTAGCGTGCGCGCGCTGTATCATACGGTCTGTCATTGAGTAAACTGGCGGGGTTTCGATTCCCCGGTGGTACCTGACAGGGAGTAGGGTTTCCTGTCCAACCTCGTGGGTTTTCTCCAGGTCCTCCGGTTTCCTCCCACTGCTAAAGACCCCTATGCGCACGCGAATGATTGAAATAAAATTGAACCATGTGTTAGTCCCTAAATGACCTAATTTGTGTCAATTGGATGTTTAACCCCATTTCTCTCTCTCTTTATTTCTGATACCCTAAGGATGATGCCTATTGTTTTTGGTTCATGCCACAATTCTGAATGGATCATTTTGCAACTTGCTGTGTTATATTGATCTTGGTATACTGTACTATCATAACATCTGGGGGATTGGATGGCCGAATGGTTAGCACGTGCAAAATGCATCATAAGGTCTGTCATTGAGTCATGTGGCATGGTTTCGATTCCCCAGTTGTACGTGACAAGGAGTAGGGTCGCCTGTCCAACCTTGTGGGTTTTCTCTGGGTCCTCCGGTTTCCTCCCACTACTAAAGACCCATACGCGCAAGCGAATTATTGAAATAAAATTGAACCACATGTTAGTCCTGAAATGACCTAGTTTGTGTCAAGTGGACGTTAAACCCCATTTCTCTCTCTCTCTCTTTATAATAACATATTTTGTTTAAAGTCAGCATTCAGATAACATGAATTTTTTGACTAATCAAATGGTCTGTATTGGTTTACAGGGCTGTGGATTATAGGAAAGTGTTTATAGAAATGATAGTGTGTGTTTGTAACCATTTGTAATATAGTTTATGATATGTAAGTGGCATATTGGTGTACAGGGCAGTGTATTGCTGTGAATTATAGGAAAGTGTATGTAACTATTTATAATATAGTTTATGATATGTAAGTGGCATATTTAACATGTTTTAGGATGATCCTGGTTTTGAAGAAGATTCATATGAAATTTGCTATAATAAAGCTTGTCAATATATTGGTAAAGATGATCTGAAAACAGCAGCTGATAAACTTAAAAAAGCTGAAGGTAAAGAACGGTGGGAATTATATATTCTATTTTTTAAGAAGCATTTCACCTCTCAGATACAAATGCCTCCTCCTGTCATATCCACACTTGAGACGGCTCCCGCTACCTCAGCCCTCTATCCCTCCACCACTCCCAGATGCACTCACATTAATTATTTATTTTATAGTATTATCTAGAATTAACTGAAGTTGATATGATTCAAATAGTGACGACAGCTGATAGAGATATATAATCTATTTTATAAATAGAATGAAATGGAGTTTAAACGTCGTACTATTCTGCTCCGACTGAGATAATGAAGACGGGCATATGCCTTACAGTGTGCTATGAGGGATATGTTGCCTGGACAGTGGCGCTATTGTCTTCCGTCCTGCACCACTGACAAGGGGAAACCACGTCGAAAATCCTGATGTACTTTCTCAGACAACACCGGGAGCAAATCTGCATCCTTCAGACTAGCGAGCCAGTGTCTTAGTCACTTTGACACCATGGCGTCTATTTTGTGGTATTATCTAGAATTAGCTGAATAGTGATGAGAGCTGATCGAGATATATATTTTATTGTGATGTTTATTTTGTAGACATAATGAGAGCTGATCCCGAACTAGCTGAAGATGAATTAGAAGAAGAATTAGGACTAATTCGGTCAGTACATATTCTTGATTCTTGATTTATATAGTAAAGGGAGGAAAACCACATCTTTATTCTGTTGATCAATCCATAAACTGGTTGTACGTGACAAGGAGCTGGGTCGCCTCTCCATCCTCGTGGGTTTTCTCCAGGGCCTCTGGTTTCCTCCAACTGCTAAAGACCCCTACACGCAAGCGAATTATTGAAATAAAATTGAACACGTAGATTTAGCTTGATTTTGTATGTTGTAGATCAATATGTGTATTGTGGTCACATATACAATATATGTGTGAATATCTACACCAACACATAGATTTTAGACTGTATAAAGGGACAATAACATATATTGTCACATATACTGTATATGGTCACATATACAATATATGTGTGAATATCTACACCAACACATAGATTTTAGACTGTATAAAGGGACAATAACACTCTTGCTGGGTTGACAGCTCCAGAAAATAAAAAATATCCTTATTCTAAGTACTAGATGTGTTAGTGTCCTACCTGTTGTGTAAATTATCCATTAAATCCTATTTTACTTGTCCAGTGGGTTCAAAAATATTTTTAAATCCAAGTAACATTTGAAAAGCTTTACGTCAGGCTTTTCAAATCATTTAGTTGAATTTTTCCAATTTTTTAAATTAGGTGTGTTAATATGAAATTTGTATCATCAATTAATTGGAATACTGTAAAATAGTACAATTTGTTGACCAGAATAAAGATTGGGACATATTATTCAGTTACAACAAGAGTGGTATTGAGCCTTTAACACAACAGAATGTTATTACATTTTGTATAACAAAGCAAAAGAAGGTTTGGGGTGCCAACGGTTAGATTTGTTGTTGATTCCTTAAAGCGGTTAGATTTGTTGTTGATTCCTTAAAGTAGCTAAGTCTCTAACTCAATATCATCCAAAATCTTCGACATTGAAAACACAATTTATTTGTCGCTTTAAATCAACATTGATGTTGTGATCTTACCTGGAAAAGATGGGATTCTCATTTCTAATATTTAAGACAAAATAAACATTTAACAATTGGTACACGAATTGTGTACCATAATGCGTTTCAGCGCTATTTGTAATAAGGGACTTGAAAAACGAGGCTAGGCATATTCCACAAGTCATGTCAAACGGTGACTCTATATTCTTATCTGGAGAGCATGCCAAATACAGTCTATCGGCGTAGACTGGAAAAAACAGACGCTAGAGATGGAAATTCGATTGAAAATACTGGCGTATTTCGCCGAACCTTATTGATTAGAGATTAATCAGTTTACATGTATATACATTCATATTACATTATTGTATGCGTTGCGACCCATTTGTGTCAATTTCTAGGTCCCAAATATTAGCGATTTAGCTCCTTTAATGTATGTTTTTCGAAGTTTAATACTATGTAATTCAAGATGGCGCCCAAGGGGGTTTGATATACTAATAGTTAAATTACATTTTATATTGTTTTATAGAGTACAGCAAGGTTATGTCCTACAACGTGAAAATAAACCAAAAGAAGCATCAGAACTCTATAATCTGTGTATGAAATCAAAGTAAGTTTTATTTAAATTCTTTAACTTATCAGGTTTTCAGGGGGTTGGTTGGAAATAAAATGAAATAGGGTTTAACGTCCTACTGTTCTGCTCTGACTGGGTTAATGAAGACAGGCATATGGCATACAGTGTTCTATGAGGGAAATTTTGCCTGGGCAGTGAAACTACTGCCTACTCTTATATCGAATTCCAACTGCCAAGGGATCTTTCATATGTCTGCCAATGTATACACAGGATCTCAGTTTTTCGTCCCATCCGAATGACTAGGCAGTTGTCCTTGTCAGATCCTCCATCATTCAACATCTTTAGGACAATAACAATCTTGCGATACAAATTGAACTGTGTATTTTCAACTGAATTTCATAATTGCTATTGCTTTCATACTCTTGACAAAAGATTAAATATGTAGGCCCGGCTCACAAGATAAGCATATATTGTGATGGAATATACTGATTTTTATGTATTGTTAAATTAATGATTATGTTTGTATCGTTACAGGCCAACAGATTTAGGTTTATTAGCTGTAGTTTCTAATAACATTGTTACTATTAATAAGGTTAGTTGTCTTAAAGTTTTTTGGGGAGCCATGGTGGCTAAAAGAGTAAGATGCTAGCCTGGAGGTCGCGGGTTTGATCCATGTGTTCGTGAGAAAGTTCAGCAGGATTTTCCGGCTTGGTTTCCCCTTGTCAGCGGTGCAGGACGGAGGGCCTGACAATGACAGCTGTCTAATTGTTCGGATGGGACGGAAAACTGGGGTCCTGTATACACATTGGCCTGAACAAAAAAGATCCCTTGGCAGTTGGAATTCGATATAAGAGTAGGCCGTAGTGCCGCTGCTGGGCAAAATTTCCCTCACAGCACTCTGTATGGTGTATACCCGTCTTCATTAGCCCAGTCGGAGCAGAACAGTAGGATTTTAAAGTTTTGGGTGAAAAATGAAGGCACAGTTTTATTAAATCTTATTAATGTTTCTGTTTTTGGTTTCTTCTCTGGGTCCTATGATTTTCTCCCACTATAGAAACCCTCATGGGCAAATGAATTATTGATACAAGATAAATATGTTGGTCCCAAAACAATATTTTTTCTGTTGAGTTGAAGCCCTGTCTCTCTATTGTTGGATGTTTTATATAATTGTAGGATCAGAATATGTTTGATTCTAAGAAGAAATTGAAAGCTGCAACAGGAGACAATGTACAACAGAAATTAACCAATAAACAAAAAGGATGTATTGCTATTAATCAATGTCTGCTAAATATGTACGCTGGTCAGGTATGTCACTTTCGTGAATTTATATGTGCTTGATAAAACTTTTGGAAATAATGATTTGGTATTTGCCTGACAAAAAATTTGGAAATTAGGATTTTATATATGCCCAACAAAATGGAGCTGGTATCTTACATTTAGAATTTTTTGACGGACATTAATAATAAGGCACAAAGACCAATCTTTGCAAAGCAAAATGGCGATCACCTGGTACAAAGCCTGCATTTATGCCAGACAATGTATGTTTTACATCCAGACTTTTTGATCCATTTCTTCACATACATATTCCCTCGACAGTGGGAATCCTAAATACATTTTGATGGGAATACCGGAAAAATATATATTTGTTGTTAAAAATATTATGGGGATGCTGGATTGTTGGGAATTGAGTCCTGTAGTGTGATTAGAAATCATAACATTATTAAATGTTAATGTTATCGTAGGGAGTCAAGATTATTTCATATTCATTTGTCCTATGCCTTGTTGCTATTACCCTTTCTAAAATATATATTTGTCGTAGGGGAGCCACAGTGTCTCGGTGAGTATGACTCAGGCTTGCTAACCAGGAATTCTCAGGTTTGCTCCTGGTGTTGGCTTAGAGAGTTGCTTGGGATTTTAATAATAATAATAATAATAATATGTACATTTATACATTTGTACAGTTCCATGTTAATATGCATGCTCAAGTCGATACACAGTCTGGGTGCCGTAATAGGTCATAAATAGTGGACTCAAATGTTTCTAGGCTGGATGGTAGTTTTGGGGGGTTGGATGGCTGAATGGTTAGCGTGCGCGCGCTGTATCATAAAGTCTGTCATTGAGTCAACATAACGTGGTTTTGAATCATCCCCGGTTGTACGTGACAAGGAGTAGGGTCGCCTGTCCAACCTCGTGGGTTTTCTCCGGGTCATCCGGTTTCCTCCCACTGCTAAAGACCCCTACGCGCAAGCGAATTATTGAAATAAAATTAAACCATATGTTAGTCCCGAAATGACCTAGTTTGTGTCGAGTGGACGTTAAATCCCATTTCTCTCTCTCTCTCTCTGGATGGTAGGTTAATCTTTAGGGGTAATGAATTCCACAGAACAGATACAATGTGAACAAACGATCTGTTTATATTTTGGGATTATAAGAAAATGTTCTTGTTGAGAATGGAGTGCACGTCCAGGAAAATTTGGTGATAAAAGATCTGCTAGATACGGAGGCCTGTTTCCATGTAAACACTTATACGCAAGGCACAAGAGCTTAAAGTCTATTCTTTATGGCTCGGTTTCTCCTTCTTATTGGTGCAGGACATTGGGCCTGGCAAAGACAGTGTTTAGTCGTTTGGATGTGTCTCGTGTACAAGTTGGCATGTAAGTGAAATATCCCTTGACAGTTGAAATCCTAATTAGAAGTAGGCCATAGCTCAACTGTCAGGACAAAATTTACCTCATAGCACACTGTTGATAAAACTACTTTGTTACAGGGCGAACAATGTCATGAAGTAGGTGATTCGTTGATTAAACAATATATTAATATTTATAATTACAGGGTGAACAATGTCATGAACTAGCTGATTCATTGATTAAACAATATCCTGATATTGACACACCCGTTTTAATTAAAGCTGCTCAGTTGGTGAAGGAAAAGAAATTAGAACAAGCTGTAGAACTGTTGAGGGTAAATTGAACTTTATTTTGATAATCAGTATCCATATATATCTTGTTGTCACCTCTGTTTTTCCATTGTTAACGGAGCCACCATGGCTAAATGGGTAAAACGCTGACTCGCTAGCCTGGAGTTCGGGTGTTCGATCCCTGCATTGTCCGAGAAAGTTCCTCAGGATTTTCAGACATGGTTTCCCCTTGTCAGTGGTGCAGGACGGATGGTCTGACAAGGACAACTGTCTAGTCTTTAGGATGGGACAAACAACGGACATCCCATGTATACATTGGTGTGCGCGTAAAAGAACCCTTGACAGTTGGAATTCGATATAAGAGTAGGCCGTAGTGCCACTGCCCAGTGAAAATTTCGCTCATAGCACACTGTATTGCGTATGCCCATCTTCATTAGCCCAGTCAGGAGCAGAACAGTAGGACGTTAAACTCCATTTCATTTCATTTTTTGTACCATTGTTAACAATTGGTTTGTTGATACTCCAGACATCAGTAGATTTGATTTGTTTCTCTGAATTAATAACAATGTTGCTTGTTTAATATTTTATCTCAAATTCATCTTGATAATAAATATGTTTAATAATTTACGTCAAATTCATCCTGATATTAAATATGTTTGATATTTTACCTCAAATTCATTCTAATATTAAATATGTTTAATATTTTACGTCAAATTCATCCTGATATTAAATATGTTTAATATTTTACCTCAAATTCATCCTGATATTAAATATGTTTAATAATTTACCTCAAATTCATTCTGATATTAAATATGTTTAATATTTTACCTCAAATTCATCTTGATATTAAATATGTTTAATATTTTACCTCAAATTCATCTTGATATTAAATATGTTTGATATTTTACCTCAAATTCATTCTGATATTAAATATGTTTGATATTTTACCTCAAATTCATTCTGATATTAAATATGTTTAATATTTTACCTCAAATTCATCCTGATATTAAATATGTTTGATATTTTACCTCAAATTCATTCTGATATTAAATATGTTTGATATTTTACCTCAAATTCATCCTGATATTAAATATACTATTCAAAAAAAGTAGGGGATATTTGATTTTTAAGTGTTATTAAAGTCACCTAATGAAACTGACGAAGAAAGAAATGACAAAATGAAATGAAGTTCACATTCATCGATTTATTCCAAATGATCGTTAGACTAAGTAAGGCACAGACTGACCATTATAAGGGTAAAATGATACCCGGGGTCAAACAGCAAAGTTACCACAGCATCACAACCAAGTCAGTAACGGGTAAATCCTCCTCTGTTTGCCAAACAAGCATTGATCCGACGTGGCATACTCCTAATGAGACGTCTAAGGTCATTTTGGTCCAGATTGTCCCATTCCTGTTGCAACGCAGCAGCAAGTTCTTGGACATTGGCAGGACGTTGTTGACGTTGACGTAACCTCTGTCCAAGCATGTCCCAGACATGCTCGATGGGGGAGAGGTCGGGACTCAGTGCTGGCCAAGGTAATGTGGTGATGTTCTGTTGTTGGAGGTAACCTGTAACGATCTTGGCCCTGTGACATCTTGCGTTGTCATCCTGGAAGATGAAACGGCGGCCATGACGTCGTGCGAACGGCACAACATGGACTGCCAAGATGTTGTCCCGGTAGTACTGGCCTGTAACACGCCCTGCAACAACATGTAAAGCCGTTCTTCCAGCAACAGTGATGCCTCCCCACACCATAACAGAACCACCCCCAAATCGATCATGTCTGATGACGTTAACGTCTTGGAAGCGCTCGTTTCGACGACGCCACACCCTCCTACGTCTGTCCAAAAAATCAACAGTGAACCTTGACTCATCTGAAAACATCACATTGCTCCAGCGTCGATTATCCCAGTGTTGACGATCCCTACACCAACGACGTCTTGTGTGAATGTGATGATCTCTCAAACAAGGGATCACGCGAGGACGTCGGGTGCGAAGGTGACCCCTATGCAGTCGATTCCGAATCGTCTGGCCACTCACTCTCACACCAGTGTCTGTTTGAAGACGAGCGCTGATCTGATTTGCTGTGATGACACGATTTCTCAAGGCCAAGGTACGGATAAATCGATCCTGGGCTTGAGTTGTCGCCCTTGGTCGACCTGAGCGTGGTCTGTCCTGTACAGATTGTGTATCACGGTATCTGGACCATAGCCTGCTTATGACAGACTGAGAAACATTCATCGTCCGCGCCACAACCGCCTGTGTTGTGCCGATCTGTAGCATGCCAAGGGCACGTAACCTTTCATTTTGGGTAAGCCGACGCATATCAAAATTTGTTTTCTGGTCACTAAAACAATTAAACTGATGTTTCCACCCTGGAATTCAATGCCACAATGACTGTAACATTCAAAGTCAGAGTCGTGCAAATCTTGGGTTGGACCCCCATGATGATCCCAAGCATCACCTGCATTCCATGCGGTAGCTATTGGTGCGTTTGGGCGTCACATGTAACTGGAAATGTTTCTTCTGTTAGGTTCTATAGTGACTTTTTTCGTAGTCATTTGCATATTTTAGTATTATGCCCCCAAAATCAAATATCCCCTACTTTTTTTGAATAGTATATGTTTGATATTTTACGTCAAATTCATTCTGATATTAAATATGTTTGATATTTTACGTCAAATTCATTCTGATATTAAATATGTTTGATATTTTACCTCAAATTCATTCTGATATTAAATATGTTTGATATTTTACCTAAAATTCATTCTGATATTAAATATGTTTGATATTTTACCTCAAATTCATCCTGATATTAAATATGTTTAATATTTTACGTCAAATTCATCCTGATATTAAATATGTTTGATATTTTACCTCAAATTCATCCTGATATTAAATATGTTTAATATTTTACGTCAAATTCATCCTGATATTAAATATGTTTGATATTTTACCTCAAATTCATCCTGATATTAAATATATTTAATATTTTACCTCAAATTCATCCTGATATTAAATATGTTTGATATTTTACCTCAAATTCATCCTGATATTAAATATGTTTGATATTTTACCTCAAATTCATCCTAATATTAAATATGTTTAATATTTTACGTCAAATTCATCCTGATATTAAATATGTTTAATATTTTACCTCAAATTCATCCTGATATTAAATATGTTTAATATTTTAGGATTATGTAGAGAAGCATCCCGACCAATCTTTTAGTCTACAGTTAGTAATATCACAGCTATATTTAACCCAGGGTGCCGTATACCCTGCCTGTGATACGCTAAAATCTCTCGGTGTTTTACGATATAAACCTGGCATAGTAAGTTAAGTTTTTATTATTATAAGAATATATATGCTTTCTCTCTCACTCCAGTATTATTCAAGCTGTAATTTTGCTGTGTTACCTGGGTTTGATGTATAGTTTCATTGCATCAACACTTTGACTAAGTTCAATAATGAACAGTTTTATTGATCGATGGTTTATAAAAAAATAAATGTGCCAGTATAATGAATTAGTATTTTCTGTTTATTTTGGAATTACGACCAGCAGGATCAGTCTGATAAAGATTAGTAAGCCAATAAATGTTAACTGTTTATTTTCAGATATCTGCGTTAGTTACGTTATATATTAGTCAAGAAGATAGAGAAGCTGCATCAGATGTTCTAATGGATGCTGTTAATTGGTACAAAGCTAATCAGGTAAATATATAGTATTCAAACAGAATTTATGTCTTTATTTTCAGTTTTCAACCATTCGGCTAAATTATTCGAAAACAATTTTGCATTCTGTTTAACTCATGCAGCTGAATTTATGTTGAATTATCCATGGTCCAGCTGAATTTATGTTAGATTATCCATTGTCCAGCTGAATTAATGTTGAATTATCTCAACTGTTCAGCTGAATTTATGATGAATTATCTATGTTCCACTTGAATATATGATGAATTATCTCCACTGTTCAACTGAATTTATGATGAATTATATCCACTGTTCAACTGAATTTATGATGAATTATATCCACTGTTCAACTGAATTTATGATGAATTATATCCACTGTTCAACTGAATTTTTGTTGAATTATCCACGTTCCAGCTGAATTTATGTTGAATTATCCATGTTCCAACTGAATTAATGTTGAATTATCCATGTTCCAGCTGAATTTATATTGAATGATATCTAATGTTTATTGTTAAGAGAGATTTTAATATGTATGATTAGGCTGCATAAATTACTTTTACATATTCTTTTTAATTCTCATGTTTTAATAGTATTCTCTTTTCTTTATACAAGATTAATTTTTTTCTGTTTTTAATTTCCAGCCCAAGTCAGAAGATTTGATTACAATAACCCGAGCTAACGCTGACTTCCAATTGAAGATCGGTAAACCACAGAATGCTGCCACCATGTTAGAAGCTCTGAGAAAGTATGTATATATATATATATATATTTATGGTTAATACAAGGATAGAAATTATCCTTCATTAGCTAAAATGTGTATAAGTGGTTTATAAAGAAAAGATTTAAAGGATACCGAGTCTTGGCTGGTTGGTGACTGCACTGATATCGTAAATGTTTAAATTAGATTAAATGCAAATTTTTTTGATCACTCTGTCAATTTATGAGTGTTAATAAACACTCGGGTAACACTCTAAGTGGCACAGTGATTGACCATTTCTTGCTTCAGTAAGTTTTGTCCATTCTGTGCTTCAGTAAGTTTTGCCCATTCCTCGCTTGAGTTTGTTTTGTCCATTCTATGCTTCAGTAAGTTTTGTCCATTGCTTGCTTCAATGCGTTTGTCCATTGCTTGCTTTAGTAAGTTTTGTCCATTCCTTGCTTCAGTAAGTTTTGTCCATTGCTTGCTTCAATAAGTTTTGTCCATTGCTTGCTTCAATAAGTTTTGTCCATTGCTTGCTTCAG